TGAATTTAAATCAGGGTAAAAACCCGAGTCGCCGTCCCGGGCGTTAGTCTATTCATTACGAATATCAAAAAGCCAATGAGCCGACTTGTAATTAGACAGCATGTCGTCCGATCGTCTCTCCGCCCACCAATTGCTAAATTAAAATGTTGAGCTCTTAATACAAGCGATGTGAAGTAGCTGCCCCGTTGAGCCGCGCGCGGTGTGGACGCAGTGAAAGCGATTTGCAAACAATGCTTGGGTAGATTGATCAATAAAATTATAAAAAAGTAAGTAAATATTAAGATAATGCTTAAGAGTAAGGAGTAGAAATGGGAAACTATAACTAACAAAACAAAATTTAAAAAAAAGGAAGATGTTTTCATTAGTTTCATTAAAATTATTAAATATAACAATCGTACCTCAGCGAAATTTGGGTCAACTTTGTTTTTTCATCTAATTTAAATAATCCGTTTCTTTTAACATGTGCTCACAAGAACCAAACATAAATAACTCCGCCTACTTTGATACTATGGAAAATGCAATGAGTTATTGAAGCACCACATAGTAACTAAGTTATATATTTTTTTCGTAGTTATCGATTAATGTATTCCACTCATTTGAAATAGAAATAATACTTATTTATATTTGCTGTAACCACACCGTTCACACGCCTGCACTGAAACCAAAACTCAAGCGACGGTTTTAACGAGGACATTTTTAATTTATTAAAACGCAGTCGGTCCGATGATTATTTGATATACCAATATTTATTTTTTATTAGCGCTGGCTTTACGCATCAATGTTATTATAGGAGTACACATGTTTACTGTACTATAATGTTTTTGTATAAATTGGTGTCTATTTTAACAATAACGAATTCTTACTGTAATGTAAGTACATAAAAATGTACAGTTCATATCAGAAACAGTAAATAGTTTTTTTTTGTAAGCAGGTGTATTTGTCTATAGTTTATGCGTAGCGAAAAAATTACGTTTCAATATGTAAGCCTGGCGCGACCACATTTCTCTTCCTTTGTTTGCATGATTTTATTTACTATTTTGCACGTGTCACAAATCAGACAAAACACTTTTTGGTGCAAAAGCGAAATATGTATTTAAAAAGTAGTTTGTTTCCAGCACATGACTAAAAGCGTAACATGAGACACGCCTCGAAAGCGTCCCTAACTATATGCGAACTTAATTCAATCTAGCGAAGAAACAATATTTATTCAATAGAATGTATAGGGGGCATCCCCACGATAAAGCGACGCGTACGCGTTCATTTTGTGTTGTCAATGATGCGCGCTCGATTTAATAGCAGGTGACTAGTAATCGGTGCGCCTACCCCACGTTAGACGACAATTATTTTCTATTATTTAATGTAAGTTTGCTCTATGAATTTTCTAAGCTAGCGGTGTTATTATTGGTCCGTAATATATATACCGAAAAACAATTAACTAGGACTAGGTACAGGAAGTACCTATTAAGGTTCTAAAACGAATTAAGTTGTATTTTAGGCTTAAATTTGAAAATAGAGTTATAGAAATTAAATTAAATTCGTCTACGCACTCCATTAAAGGGAAATTCTCTGAAATTAGTATGAGAATAAGTAAAGAGGTTTCCGAAGTGCTTAATAACTAGGTGTGAGTGGGATGGAGTGTTTAATACGATTCTTCTCGATTCACAACGCCACTCGATATCTAGTACCATCGAACGAATAATTGTTCGAAAGTGGAAGTGATTGCTGCTCGAATCGGGGAAATGTATAGATAATTGGGATACTTCCGCTGTTGCGAGTACCTTTGGAAACTATAGATTTCTACGGAACTTATGGAAAATACATAATAATTGGATTTTGGATAAAACGTTCTGTTTAATTTTGTCGAAAGTTATAGACTTTGTATTTGTTTAACTTGACTAGAAGTCCCTACTTGAGTTTTACTTATGTACGTAAATAGTAAAAACGTAAACTACAATGATTAAGTTACTTATCATAAACTTGAGTTTAAGTTAGGAACCTCACATAAGTTTATAGTGCCATTTATTTTTGTCAATTTTAAATGATCAGTGCCATACAAATCCAACATAATATGTGAGACTTGCGTACATCTAGAATCACCTCCAGGTAAATAGTTACGTAGGTGATTCTAGTAAATAGTTATTTATAAAGTATAAATTCTAAATTTGAAAATAGTACTTGCCCACACCTAGACACCATAATTACTATATCATGATACAGTTCAGTATCATTAACGCCCACCCAGAGTATAAGGGATTCGATTCAATCCGATTAGATTGATCATCGCTTCTAATCTACCGCCATGTCATACTACACACACTGTACCCAGACTATAAATAATAGTCAACGAATTGTTCGACCTTACTTATTGTTAGATTATTATTGTTCTAGCTAAAATTTATTGTTTACCCTGTAAAATTACCACAGCTAGACCGGTATCTACCAATATCATAGTCATTACAATCCTAATTTACTTTACTATATCGTTCTGCTGACACAGTTTCTAACATAGGTTTAGGTATGACAAAACTTTTATTATTATTATAGGGTTTAACTTAAGAATATATGCCAAAAATAAAAAAAATACCATGCTCAATTAAAACATTTGACGGTTTAAAACGCGATGTATATTAGTTAAACATTTGGAAATTATAGTTTTTATAGTTTTAAGTGTTTCAATTTAATGTGTACTACTCGCGTAAACTACAGACAGTATTTAATACCAGTGTTCTGATTTCTTTAGCTATATGTATAAATAAGTTAATGACGTATTAAACTTTATAACAGATCAACCCACGTATATTTAGTAGCTGAATTTTGTACTCTGTGGCGTGTAGTGCAACGCTATACCTACAGCTTCCATATGCGCACAATAGCGCCACACATGCTCTACTTTATGTCACATTACATTTGCGCACAAAGGTACAATCAAGGTCTTTGTATTGTGTAGGCGACAGCTTTAACAAGCTAAAGCTGATCAAGATATACAAAACAAATAATTTATAAGCGATATCCATTTAAAATCACCGAATTGTTAAGTGGATATACCTATAGTTTTTTTAGAAACTACTTAGAAAAATTTAAAGTTACCGAAAATATAACAGACAAGCAAGTTTCACTTGATAGTAAGTGAAATACTGCTCGACCGGTTTTGGCTTTGGATATTCGGAAATCCACAGACTGTAACCGATATGCGATTAAACTTGATGACTTTTCTCCTGATGAATCGGACAGAATCTGATATTCCTATACCCCTCCATTCGATATACAGATTTCCAGATGAAGTCCAACATATTTCAGAGAAGTGTTGCAACTAGTGAGGATCGAAGCCACACCCATCATTAAGCCATATATTGCTACCATTGAACTAACGAGCTCGTCAAATATAGTTTGTAAAAAATAATTACGGTAAGTTGAAGCAATGATTTTGAATATTTTATACAATGAAAATCAAATACTGTCTATAGTTTACGCGAGTAGTACACATTTAAATAAAACACTTTAACGGTTTAAAACGCAATATATTAGTTAAACTTATTTGAACAATTTAATTGGCCCTAACTTCGGATGCTTAACCGCCGTGGTCACGGGGAAGATGCCACGGCAGCGTTTTAATTAGACAATAAAAATCGTCAAAATCCAGAGCCTAGTCAAAATTGCCGAAAACGTAGGGTCAGGTTTAAAGCCCGCTACAAGAAAATGAGAATAAGCAAATCCTGGCTTTCAATATTTTCCGTCAACATTACCAGGCATTTCTGTCAAACAATGCACATTATTCCGGCGCGTCACATTTCATTTGAGGCAAGTTCCGTTTACCCAACTGTACCGGGGGGAGTCATTGTTCGCTTTTTTTAATTAAACCCGATGGTCGCGAGTTCGATGTTTATTTTTATTGACACGACGCATTGTTCTAGGTATGAATTGGGGACATTATTTAAGTGATTGGTATTTTGATTGATATTTACGGTGTACTGATTTTGAATGGCAGAATTTATTTGAGGGTAGATGAAAACTTCCTAGTTTACTATCACTAAAGCTAAGAGCAGGTTTTTACATGATAGGGTTAGTAGTTAGTACCTACAGGATTGGTAGGCTGGAAAAACGTACTTAAAAGTGTCTAAGGAGTAATTTAATTAAATAATAATTCAAAGTAACTTCTAACAACGTAAAAAAAGTCTTGAATACGGTAGACTGTTTATTAGTCCGAGTCTTGCCTGTATCCTAATTTTATCTTGTAAGGATTAAATCCACGAACTAACATTTACTTTTTTTACAATTTTTAACTGAATGAATTAGTATCATTTCTGGGTACTTAATTCTAACAAAGAAGAAAAGTTACGGTTTACATTAAGCACGGTACCTAGTATCTTATGTTCGCATTTACTATGTTGTGTATATGTATTTGGAAGTACATTCTGCAAACATTACTGTAGTCACAAACTCGAAGGAACCCTCTACTCAATACATACTCCAGACCCTACCGCACAGTGGCAAAACTAAAGTGCATTAGAGAAATTGGATTATGACTAACTCGTCAGACATTCCTATGCAATATATACCTTAGGTGCTTGCAATACGGAGGGTTTTCGGTTACAATTATTGTAGTCCATCTAAAGTTATGTATACATCCTACATTAAGGACTCTATAATTTGTAATACAGATATTTGAAAGACCAAATTTAGAAAAACTATCCGTTGTCTAATGAATTACCTCTTCTTAGACTTACTTGTCAGTTCTTCTAGTTCGTCCTACGCCCTTGATTTCAGAACTAGCAGTTAATGTAAATTAAGATCCTTTAGTTTTGTGACAATTAGGTACACATAATTGTCACAAAACTAAAGGATATAAATAAATTATTTTTACTATGACTTTAACCACAAAACATTCCATGTCCTTCGAACATCATTTCAACACTTGGTTCAACGGAGCCCGTAGTCTCATAAACAGAATGTGTAATAGATAAACTAGAAGGCCCAAGTTAGAACCCTGTGGAGGGACTCACGTGATAAACTGATGTGTGCGACTTCTGAACAGTTTCAGGTATTTCGAAGCGTTGCACGTATTGGGACATTCGTCGTGTAACCTGGTCATGCAGAGTACCGAATCAAAGGCCACTGAAAGGCAGTCCGCTAGTAACTTTGTCAGTTCTGATTGCTTCTGGTCAGATTTCAAATCTCGATCCTGCTGACAAAAGATTTCATATTAAACAACGTATTCACCTCATAATATAATAAATAGCTTTGATAATATGGATACTTTGTTCAAAAACGTCAAATAAACAAAAAAAAATTTAATAAAACACTTTAACGGTTTAAAACGGTTATTTTCTGGTCTCCCCGTGACCACGACCGCTGCAAAGCATCCGAAACGTCGGGCCAAAGTTAAAAATAATTTTCAAATAAGTTTAACTAATATATCGCGTTTTAAATCGTTAAAGTGTTTTGTTTTAATGTGTACTACTCGCGTAAACTATAGACAGTATTTAACAAAAAAGATATGAAAAGCATATATTAAAGGAAAACACGTTTTATAAAATACAATCATCTTTATAATATCGAGATTCTCGTAAAAATTAATAAATAGATGGACTTACAAAAAAGGAATGTTAATCTCTACAATATGCAAAATTAATTCTGGCATTCCGATAAAACGACGGATTCTTATAGGGGAGGGGTGGCATGAAAGGGACATTTTTGAATTTAAGATCATAGTAAGTAATTGATGCAATATTTGGAACAGATTAGAGACGAATAGGAAGCGTTTATTAACGAACTATTGAAATGAAATGCAATAATTGTCATAAATAATTTCTTAATTCTTTATTTACGTATATTTAAAAAATGTGTATTTTGTCCCTTTCATAAATGGACTGTATTGAAAGGGACGTAATAATTTTTGAAAGGGACAGTACCTAATTTTGAGAAAATATATATATATGAACGACTTATATATGTAATAAATCACATTTTAAAGCGACTTTAACAGTTGTCATTATTTTATCTTACCATATTAATCTAAAAACTAATGAAATAAACACTTTTATGTAACTAAAATAGAAATTAACAATAATAAAATGTTTTTCTTAGATACAATTAAACTTAAAACATTATTAAAAACTTTTTTAAGACCCTTATAATCACTTTTCTTATAATTAACAAGAAATTAAACACTTATAGAAAATTAAAAGAAAATAAAAAATTGTAATCATCTCTTTTTAACAGCTTTGAAAAATAATAATTTGCTTTTTAATAGAATTATAGTCAACAGTCTCTATAAACTTTAAATTACAGTCTGTAAAGTTAAACTAAACTTAGATACTAATCATTGCAGTTTTTAGTGGCATAGTGAGCAAAAATAATTAAAAGTACCTTTAATGCCACAGGTTTCGTGTGCCCATTTTGTGCAAATTTTACATTGATACCAATCTTCAGTGCTTTCTAAATATGTTTTCTTACAAACATTACATTGGTCATCGTCTCCTGTTTTATTTTTTGTAATTGTACGTTTTCTTAACCTTGGAGCGTCTTTTTCATTTTCTAATATATCATTTATTGAGTCAGAACCCGTATCTATATTTGACGAAGCATCGCTGCTATTGCTGCTGCTACTGCTTGCAATTTTTCGTGCAGCCTTTTTCTTCTTTTGACTAACTGTAACATTTTTCGTAATATTCATTTTTTTCTTTTTAGCTTTCTCGTTACGTTTCGTTTTGATAGATTCTTGATCTGCTAAATTATTTTTAAAAATTTGTTTCACATGTTTTAGGTTTTGTTTCTCAGATTTGGGTGTTTTCTTTTTTAAGATATCCATCATATTTTCTAAAAGCAGTCTTTCTTTTTCAGGGGTTTCCGTTATAATCGTAGTTTTAGCTTTACGTTGCTTCCCAGTAGATTTTCGTGGTAAAGCTTTAGGGTATGGTCGAACGACTTCTGGAGTTATTAGAAGGTAAGCAGAGTTAGAAGATCCAGGTCGTGTATCTTTTATGGTTGATGTTCCAGGTTGTGGATCATTCAAAGTAAAAGATCCTGGTCGTATCTCGTTTATGATCGATGTTTCAGGTTGCGAATCATTAAAAGTAGAGGGCCCAGCTTGTGGTTGACTTAAAATGGACGGTGAAACGATTCGTTTATTTGAATCAAGTTCAGGGTTAATGACATTAAAAGATCTTTGAGGCAATTCTTCTTCATTTGAGGAAGATTTGTCAGAGTCTTCAGATAAATCAGTGGGAGTCTTGAGATTCTGTGGTCTGTCAGTCACGAAAGCAGGCAAAAAATCTTCATCTGAGAAAATGTTTTTATTAATTGGCCATATCCCGGTGTTCTTAAAACCAGAGGATATATTATTCATATTAAAAGCAGCAAAGAAAGCATCTTTAGCAAATTGAGCCACATTATAAATTGTGACAGTTTTGCCAGGGTTTGAGGTCATCCAGTCATTCATGCTGGCTCTATATCGAGCTTTGAAGGGCCCGAATACTGTCACATCGAGAGGTTGCAGTCGGTGACTACAGTGAGGTGGAAAGGTTAGTATTATTATGTTATTTGTTCGGGCATACAGCACTACATTAATGGTTATATGCGTCTTATGGTTGTCGAGGACAATTAAAGCCGGCGAATCAGCACTAGGCTTAACAAAGTGCACAAAATGTTTCAAAGCTTTTAAAAAACAATCTTCAGTTATCCAACCAGAAACATTAGCGAGGCCTAAAGCACCTGTAGGACCATTTTCTAGCATGTGTTCCTTAAAATGAACACGTGGGAATATAAAAACAGGAGGAATACTTCCACCAGCAGCATTTGCGAAACCGAGCATAGTAACAAGCGCTCCACGTTCAGTTGAGCTGATTTGACCAACTCTCTTAACACCTGCTTGGGCAACTATCTTTGGTGCATTAGTGACCGTTGTGCACCCAGTCTCATCCAAATTATATATCATATTTGGAGGGAAATTATGCTTTAAGTAACATTTCTCTAAATAATTAAAAAAGTTTTGAACGTTGTGTCTATTAAAGCTCGTAGTTCTAGCTAGAGAAGTATTCTCAGGTTTTCTTACGCTCAGCGAATCATGCCTTTTTAAAAAACCCTTAAGCCAATCTTGACTAGCTGTATTATTTTTTTCCCAAGAAGAGGGTATAGAAAGATTTAAACGAACAGCATACTGATATGCTAGTTCTCTGACTTGTTTAGTAGTCAAGCCATGACACATTTTTGCTGACGTCTTTAAGTATTCTGCCAGAGAACATTCCTGGTCAACCGTAAAAATTTTTTTATTACCAATGTTAGGTTCATAAACAAATGATGTACATTTAGAACTTTTAGCCTTTACGATCAATCTGTGCAAATGCGATTTGCTTACGTTAAATGCTTTCGCAGCCGATCTCACAGATATGCCTTTTTGTAATACTTCATTAACTGCTTCTTCAATTTTGTGTGCCTCGACACGCGTTCTTTTTCTTTAGGTGCCATTTTAATCTAAAAAAAAAAAGAAATATTATAAACCTAGTAAAATAACAGGCTTGAAAGGGACAGTTATGAAGGGGACGTCCCATTCATAGCCATTTGTCCTGTCCCTTTCATAAATATCATACGAAAATTTGATACATAACCACAAAATCTACAATATTAAATTAAAGTTAACTGACCTTATATTCTTACGTCTATGGATGTCCAGCCTATCTTAAACAGTAAGTTACACACAACTGAGTAACTAGCAGCACTCGATAAAACGTTTACAATTCACACAGAAAAAAAAACTATTCGATCACAATAACAACACTCGTACGTAACCGCCGTGTTTGAAATGGGTGGAGTATGAAGTTTGGCGCGAACGAACTTGCATCAAAGTTGCCATACGACAAAAATATCTTTGTCTCGAAATCATTTATATTTAACCCGTAATTTGAATTGTCCCTTTCAATACGTGTCCCTTTCATGCCACCCATCCCCTATCTTCTACCATTTTTTAAAGTTACTATCGCAGCGAACAACAGCTAGAAGCTAGTGTTTTAAAAGATGAAGAATAATTAGACATGCAACACCGCAAGTGCCATTTACCACTGTACCAAGAATAGAATCCGTTAAAATATATCTTAGGCGTAGTGAAGAAAAATGCAAGAGACGCGAGCCATTAGACGCTTTACTTAGACGCGAGGGAGGCGCTATCCACGTTGAGCGTTTAATAGGGATAGTTGACTGGCCATTAGCTATCCTTTCTATCGCGAGTCATGACAACAATCTTTCAGCCATCGACTTTATTTAAATGACGAAATGTGCTGCCGATTATGACTGCAAAAGACTACATGTTAAAAGACGTTTAAACTTGTTAAACCCCGGTCGTACGTTTATATTTGTAAACCTATATCCGCTGTAAATTATAAACTACGACCCGACGTTCGAATGCTTTTCAATAGCCATGGTCACGGGGGGAATAAAGATGGCGGGTATCTCTAATTCCAATTTGACGCCGTCTGTTTTTTCTTTATTGTTTTTATCAAAAACCTAGTATTAATCTACTAACTACTTGAACTTCCTTCTTAATTCTTCAATTTTCATTCAATATTCACTTTTATTTATTTTTTTAGTTCTTTGGTTATTTCGCTGTGTATTTAGACGGGCAATAAATATGGTAACAATATAAAGAACTTTATTTATTGATACATTTAAATTTAAAAACCGCATTGCACCTATTAACTACCAACGGCGCAATATAAAAATCACATAAAACTTTCAGCTCAAATTCGGTAAAGTAATAAAATAACAATTCGGCACGTTCCGAGATTTTATCTGAATGATATTTCGTCCATGCTCGTAAAGATATAGATTCACTGATATCGAGCAAAATCTAGATGGTTTCGGCGATAAGGAACAATTAACATGACAGCTGGAGCCGCATGTTTTGCTAAGATGTTTTTGATTATCAACATTAATATGAAAAACGTTACACCGTATTATGCGAAAGTTTTAATAGAATTAATAACCGTTAAATGTAAATGTTTTCGTGAAACTATTCTTTATTACTTCAGAAGCTGCTTATTGTTGACTCTTGGAAATTTCCTTAACTTAGACGCACGTATTAAATTAATGCAATATTTCTTGTACTTGACGATACGCAATTTTTTGGTAATAATGCAGTAAATAACCTAACAATTTGAATAAAGATTAAAACAAAAATCACGTAATTAGTAGCTCCCAACAACCTTCGTTATTTATAACTTATTTTATTAATTTGTGTCAATGCCAGATGTATATCTAAAGTCAATAAAAATATAAATTAATTGCTCTTCAATTTATCGTGACATGTTTGTTTAAAGGATAAAATTAAATTAACAAAAAATTGTCATTGTAAGATTTGTAAGACGATGACAAGGTCACGTTTGCAATCGTCATTAGAGTAGCAAAAACATTTTTTACTGCTTATAATTAATGACGTTAAATTAAATTATTTACAAATTAAGTGTAAATATCACTTTCTTTTGTCATAAGTGCAAAGCAAGGAAATTTTCTCCTTTTTTATCATCACCGGTTAGAAACAGTTACTAACTACACATAGTTTTTTTGTTTAACAACCAGCGAATAAACGAATAAGCTATCCAATAGGCTATGTTAGAAAATTCTAACCTATTTAGTAACTTGCGCTAGTGAGAGAGTATGTAAGCGAGACTCTAGATGCATTAGTGGCGCTTTCAAGGCGCCCACTCACAAAGCGTCGCTACCGGGAAACGCTAGGGCTGCGGGAGGCCTCTTTATTACGTCACTTTTGCGCTACAAGGGCGTAATTACGGCCCATCTTTCAAAATTACATAATGTATTTCCCTAGTGAGATTATATTAACTCCTAGGAAGAAAAACATCGTGTACTATGCTTGACTTATAAGTAAAATAAGTCCAGTAAAATGGTCTTGTCAAAACAACACAAGATACACATAGCTATATCTTAATTTGTTTTTCGGAGAGTCCGAAAAACAATGATATGCTGAACGATGGCCGTTAAAGCCTTACACTATTTATATCTATATAAGTATAAGTTGGACAAATTTAAACTTGTCTAACCCATAGCTTGCTTTTGCATCAAATTTGAAATTGAATTTCACATTATTCACAAAAAGTTAAACTATGAAACAATAGGGAAGATACAAGTATGTATTTTTAAAAGATACACGCACTTATCAATGTAACACAAATTTAATACACATTACAATAATTATGATAGATTTCAAAGATAGAGAGAGAGATATGAACAAGAGAGTGACAACCCTAGTCGTCAACATCAGTACACAAAGCATCAGTTACTGACAATACAGCGGCAGCAAACTTCACAAGCACACAGTAACATGTATGACAGTTTAACCAACGCTCTGTGCGTAAGAGAATTCCTCACCAGACATCACAAATTTCAGAACACAATATATATCAAATATGTGGTTAGTTAAAGATATATACATATACACAGTAGAACCCGTTTAAGACGATCACGCTTAATACGCTTTCTCGCTTAACACGCGTTTTTGGTCCATGAGAAATTGTTTTAAGCGAGTTTTACTGTATAAGCCTTTAAAAGTTTACCTACATTCTTGTGAGTATGTATATGCTTACAGCTTATGTCAGTCAGTGGAAGCCCTATCAAAGTAGTTATCATCACCGTTTATAGTATTAACTTTTAAACTTGAGGTTCAGACTTCAGACATAATTCTGTCAAACAATATTTTTCTGCAGTATAAAGTTGCTATTGGCAGAATTTTTGCGACTTGCAATATAATTCGCGGTATAGTTGAAACTACACACTGTAACAACGAAGCGATCCCCCTTTACTAAAACAAAAATAAATCGTTAATCTAATTTATGGCAAAACTCGGCAAAGGTTGACGAAACCTGATTGAAGAACATCAAAGGTAACCGCTCGGAAAATGTTGCTCACCCCTTCCAATTACTAAAGAAAGTTCCGAAAGAGGTGTACATTTTTTATTTGACTACCGGGATATGTCTAGAACTTCTTACTGCGGCATATAAAAGTATATGAGGCGCAAAGTTTATTATATTGATGCAGAAGAAACAGCAATACCTGGTAAGTTATATCTGTATACGCGATTAACAAACTTTGAAATAAAACATTTTTAACGGTTTAAAATGCGACATGTATCAGTAAATTTATTTCACGTGGTCATGGGGGAGTCTACGGCTGCTGCAAAGCATCAGAAACGTCTAACCGTAGTTAAAATAAACTGTAAATAAGTAAAGCATATCGCGTTTAAGACAAGCTTGGGATGAGGTGATATACCGAACCGTCTTCGCCTGAAGTGTTTATAACATCAAAATCTAAAAATTTTCATTAATATTATAAAAAATACTTGCGAAATTGATTGAAAACATGTGATTAATATTAAACCTAAAACATTTATATATTCTTCCAACTTGGTTTCATTAGGGTATAAAACTATTTATGATATCTCGGGTATATATATATATAATACTTACGACTTGATCAAGCAAAGTGATCAGATGTACCGCCATATTGGTCTCAGCGATCTGCGCGCCCAACATCGAGCAAGACCTCAGCGTACGCGATATCAGTGTTACGCCAACTGTGATGCATCTAAGACAAATAAATTGTATATACATTTAATATATAAAATGGACAAAGTTTAATACTTTAGTATATAAAATGGCCAATTATCAAGTAGATTAAGAGGTACTGTCTATAGTTTACGCGAGTAGTACACATTTAAATAAAACACCTTAACGGTTTAAAACGCGGTAAATTAGTTAAACTTATTTGAAAATGATTTTTAACTTCCCGACATTTCGGATGCTTTGCAGCAGCCGTGGTCACGTGACCGCGTGTCCTTGGTTCGAATTCCGAGAAATTATTTTTTTCGGTCAGACAGACGTTCCATCAACACAAATCTGTTTTAGCCCACCGACACGGATTTTTTTTTATATAAAATGTAAGTATTGTAATCATATATCTTATTTTTATTAACAAATCATTCGTTTTCAATAATCGAGCGTATAAAATATAAATCAATGTTTGAAATCATTCTTTAAATTAAGAAGTATTTACTTGAAAAAACTAATATAAAGGCAGAACAATACAGAAAATTCCATGTACAAGTATACTTTTGTAAAGATTTTTTAATGACAATTATATATTTCAGATCAATCCGGCAGAAGTAGTAAATAAAGGTATTGTGCTTGTATATGAAATCGGGTCAGAGATTTAGGACATATTATATCTAAGGAAGATATCAATAGTAAATAAATAATGTATCATAAATGATTTAATATTGTATCAACTCACTTAGTAGAAAGGGCTGAAGCGACGTCCTCCCTCTCAGCGATAAGACCAAGTAGCTCAAATGTGGACTTCACAGCCAGATATCTCTGATGCGCTGCATTTTCCGATTTGTCCTACGATACAGAAATTGCTTTACGACAGGTAACAAGGGTTTGACTTGATGGAAGGTTATGTATCCCAGCCATATAGTGTCAAATGAGACGCGCTGGTAACCCATTTTGGCTTTGCACATTAATAAATGTCGCCATTATGAGTTGTTTAATCAATTATTATTTATTTTTATAAGCATATTATATTTTTCAGCTAATACTGATAACTGAAATTACTCCAATAACTTATGTAATAGAATATTTATTAATTATTACTTATGTTAAATGTCTTACCGGTTCCAGCCTCTCCACGTTTCTATTCAATTCGTTTAAAAGCTTCTCTATACCCTGACCATCTATACTAGCGACGTCCTTGCGACCTTTTGACGTATTGATATCATTTAAAAGAGTCGCTATTTCATTATTCTTAACTCGTTTCCTACGTTTCTTGTTATCATCCTCCAAATCAAAATCAAACTCGGTCAATATATCTTTGTTCTTCTTCTTTTTCTTTCTACTACCCGACGATTCTGAATCTACGTCTCTTTTATTCGAGTTCTTCTTCTTTTTCGTTTCATTGCTTTTTGCTGTATTTTCTTCAGATTCCTCAGATTTTGCTTTCTTCTTTTTATTTTTGGTATTCTCGTTAGGTAAATCGAATGTTTCTTCATTATTATTATTATTTGTTGTGTCAATATTTCCATTAGTCTTAGGTAGATCATTATCAATTATCTCTAAAGTGTTTTGACTCTTGTTAGTATTATCATCATCATCACTATCAATATATTTTTGAGATTTCTTATTCTTGGTTTTCTTTTTATTTTCTACATCATTATTCGCATTAGGTGTGTTAATGTTTTCAGTATTATTGTTCTTTATAGTTTGGATAATATTATTTAATTGACCAACGAGCTTGTTTGTTCTTAAAATAAAAGGCGATATTATGATCTTTTCGAAGGGATTCGGCGGCTGATTGTCGAATACAGTTGTTGTGGATCCACTGAAATAAATAACAATAAACCGTAAGTTCCGCTAGATTACTAATACAATAGAAGTATTAGCATGAAGTTAAAAAAAGGTTTATAAGGCTAGAGCCACTTTTACTACATGGTCAGAGTTTAAAGGTGGCTGTATTAAACCAGCGAGTTTAATGATAAAACAACTTCTATAACAATTGACAGCCTTTAACTAAAAACTATTATTAAAGTATACAAACTCACTTAGCTAGTAATTTCAGTTTCATCTTCCTGGCCTTCTTCTTGGCATACTTCTGCTTATCTTTCTCCCTTCTGTCCAATTCTTCCTTCTCAGCTTCGTCTGGCGGATCTTTATCGTGGCTCTCTGATGTAGTCTATAAAGTTATTGGTTACTTTAAAATCACTTTTTGTAGTAAGTCCCTTAGGGAATTAGCAATGTAGTTTACATACGCACGTAATAATAATATATACATTTATATTAAAAAGATTTATCGAATCAAACTGCATATATGTATACTAATCGCGTAGTAATTTTTGTCAATTTTTATTAGTTTTAAAAAGTTTAATTTCTGATTGTGCTGGAAATTGTTTACCTCTAGTATGATTGCATATTCAGGGAAAACCGGTTTAATAAAACAAAATTTGAGGTGCATTGCCACCTTAATTCAATAAAGCCTCGATAATCTTATACGAGACCAGAGTTCAAGCAGCACTAAATATTATCTGTAGTTTACGCGAGTAGCACACATTTAAATAAAACACTTTAACGGTTTAAAACGCGATATGTATGCGTGTCGAGCCGTAGTTAAAATAATTTTCAAATAAGTTTAATATATATCGCGTTTTAAACAGTTAAAGTGATTTATTTAAGAACTGGAACTGGAACTGTTAAGAGAAGACACTGACTGGTTGCCTAGGTCCTGTAGCCTTTTCTCTAATGGCTTGCAAGTGCGAGGTGTGTCTTTGTTGGCTTGCGTCCTGCTTATCTCTTATTCTAGATCGAAGAGCGTCCGCTTCTAATTCGGCGGCCTCAGCTAAAGCGGAGAGACGAGACTTCACTGCTTCAGCCTGAGAGAGATTTGTCATTTTTTTTTAATTTTTGTTTATTTTATTTTATTTACATATATGCACTGTCATAACAGGCTGGATCCCAAGGCGACAGAGATCTTAAAAACTAAACAATATAATTATATATGATAGAACAAATATATATGAACTTAAACCACACTATCGTTCATAACTCAAAATAAACTTTAATGTATTTGTGATTATAATAGAGAAGAACAGACAAGGATGGGGTCCACTTGATAGGAGGTGAAATATTACAATAGACATTTACACAATTTGCGCGTTCGACTTATTTTGGCTTTGGATATTCGGAAATTCACAGTATGCAACTGAAACGCGATTAAATCTTACGGCTATTTCATCTGTGGACGGTGGTTCGTGATCCGGACGGAATTTCCGATATTGCCACCACCCATTTAACATACAGATTTCCAGACAAAGTCCAACATGTTTCAGGGCATGGAACCGTTGTTAGTTCTTACCTATACATTGTTCTATTGGACCAACACACTCGCTGTTTATTCAAAGATTAGCAAATTGATTCAGCAAAGTAACTGAGCTGATTAATAATTTACAAGTTACTATTAATTTCAACAATCTCAACACAGCCCGGCTAGCTCAGTCGGTAGAGCATGAGACTCTTAATCTCAGGGTCGTGGGTTCGAGCCCCACGTTGGGCGCACAAACATTTTTCTACTTTTTTTTTATTTTTATAAATCCTATATTTTTTCTACAAACCTATTTAAACAAAGTGACATTTGATAAAGAGAGTAAATATTTTTTACCTTTTCCCTGGCTGCGTCGTCTCTCTCCTGCTTCTTTTGCTCCTTTAACTCTTCTAATCTTGCATCCCTTTCCTTTCTCTTCTCCAATAACGTCTCCATTTGTAACTTTCTAGCAGCTTCCAGTGCTTGTCTTCTGGCACCCACGGCTGCTTCGCGGGCTGCTTTTTGTTCCTACAAATTAAAATTTATTAAAAATTTAAAATATTACTTAAATTATAATCCATAATATAGATTCGCAGTATTACAATGAGAGTATTTGAAATTATAGTTCTTATAAAATAAGTATGTTATACAATGTCGTTAACACTCGTGGGGCATGACACGAACACATTTCTGTGTCCGTTTTACATTGTTGGATTTACAAGCAGTTCGGGCTGTCGACTAAAACGATCTATGTTTCCCCGGCTTCGAAGCCAGAACGCAATGCTAGGCAACACGTTTAACCATATAGTAACAAAGGCCGTCCATCGGATGTTTATTGATTATAAAAAATAATATATACGTCAAACAGACACAAAAGTGGATGTACTACCAATTTTTTGTCTGTTTAGCCCAGAAACAGGCCTTTTTAATATACAAACCAGTTTAGTAAGTCTGTCGCGTCTCATCTGCCTCAAGCGGGTGGTGAGAGATTTGCACTGTTCCAAGAACTCATGACGCCTATTCTCCGCCTCCAGTTGTTTGATAAATGCTATCTCACGCAATTTCTCCTCTTCGTCGTGAGCTTTACGCACTATGTCCTAAAAATTAAAGTTTCTCTCGTTAATGCCCAATATGGACAGATATAGAAGCAAATTTTATTGTATTAATAATTTTTATTATTTCAACTGGCATAATTAATGGTACATCTATACAAATAAATAAAATTTAAGTGTCTTTTGTAACATTAAAATAACCGCTTTTTACTAAATGCATATGGATGTATACACGGTTCAATACCAACCCAAAATTTAAAAAAAAATGTCTATCTGTCTGTCTGTATGTTCCGGCTAATCTCGGAACGGCTAGACCGATTTTAACTGACAGATAGCTGATGTAATAGGGAGTAACATAAGCCACTTTTATTTTCGGCCAAGTGCGAGTCGGACGCGCGCACGAAGGATTCTCTGAAACGGCTCGAGAAATATGTATGAAATGTCCATTTCTTTTTAAAATGATCTAAAAAAACGTCCGCGACACTATATTTTACAATTAGTTTACAAGAACGACGGAGCGCTGACGAAGTCGCTGGCACAGCTTGTTAATAATAAAGTAATAAATCATAAATAAAAAAAAATGGTCGATGTGCGAGGTGCCTGTATCACTAGGTTGATAAAATTCTACGATGCCGTATAGGGCACGGTAGTTCAATTGGTTAGAGAAACAGCACGTAACGCTGTGGATGCCAGTTCAATAAAGTCAAGTTCGTAAAATTTTTGCAACTTGAAATGGTTCTGTTATTTTAACTATTCGAATAAAATACATTCGCAAAATTTAACAGTTTCCTTTATCCTATGATAATATATAATTATAGAATCAAGAATATCAGAAAGAGTGGAAAACATACAGAAATAATTTTGTACATCACAACCAACTGTCAAACAAACAATAACATTCATAATGTATGTTAAAATAGTACCTTAAATACTATAAAAATAGTATATTAATTCTTAAATTGTTAGTGCTGTCTGTACCTTCAAGTGCTGATCTCGGTTTTCAGCGGCTTTCTGAAGGCGTCTCTCCATTCTTAATTTCTTTTCTTCAGTCAACTGGTTCTTTGCGAGCTGAAAACAATAAATTAATACTAACACAAATGCTTTATAGATTGGATCTTACTTTAAAAAAATACAAAAACAAAAAACAAATACAATTTTATATATATATATATATATAACTTTTAGAGCTTTACAGATGAGCGTCAAATGTCACTTTAACGGTCTAAAACGCGATATATTTTAGTTAAACTTGTTTGAAAATTATTTTTCACTGTTACGCGGAGACCGCGGCTGCTTTAAAGCATCCGATACGTTGGGCCGTGGTTAAAAATAATTTTCAAACGAGTTTAACAAAAATATATCGCGTTTTAAACCGTTAAAGTGTTTTATTTAAACGTGTACTACACGCGTAAACTACAGACAGTATTTAATGTATACACTATTTGAAACTTCTTCATAGATACGTACCTTAACTTCTTCAACTCTACCCAATAGCTGGTGTATTTTCTTGGCTCGTTCAGTCTGATAAACTTTTCGCTGTCTTTCGGCTCGTGCTTGCTTAGCTTGTAATCTGAAAATGAGATTTTATTCATATATAAAAATTGAGCATTTAGTGTTTTCAGACAATAAGTGAAACTACTTGAAATGTGTATATCTGTAATCCCTACTTATCCTCTCCTCCTTGTGGGGCAAGGGGCGAACACATTTCTGTGCCTGTTTGACTGATCCGTTCTTTAACAGACAAGCAGTCGATCAGACTTCTGTGCCAAACCAACCTTTCGAAATAGTTTTTTGTTTCCCTGGGATACGAATCCAGGACCTCCCGCGCTTAACGCAATGCTAGCAATATGTTTAACCATTTGTCTACAGAGGTGGCAAAATGTATATAACAGCTAAGAATTTAATTATTATTAATTATATTATAATAACAATATTTTTTACGTATGTGTACTAAATCGATTCAGTTTATTCCATTGTACTTCCAGTTGTTTTGAAACTCGTACAAATGGCCTCTTTCGTGTTAATTTTTGAAGAATTTATGAATTGAATAAAAACACGTAACTTACCTTCGTAACGCATCTTGCAAACTGCCCCGACGTTTAATACCTTGCGATAGTTTAGCGTGAAGTTGCTGAGCTCGGCCTAAACAGTAATCAATTTTTGAAAAAAAAATTTTTTTTTATATCATTTTGTTGTCACATGTACACAAATCTCGTTATTAGTGTTAATACATACATATCTGATTAAGTGGTTAACAAAAAGAAATAGATGCCATCCTCCGAGGCTACTTTGAATACTTAAGTAATTTATTAAACTTAAAACAAAAAATCTTACATTGTTTGTTTGTTAAGACATGATATCAAACTGGGATATATATGTAAAACTGTTCCAGTCAAGAAAAACGAAAAGAAAAGTATTGTCTGTAGTTTACGCGATTGTTTATGATTTGTTTTGAACCCAACTGAATTTTGAAAGATTACGTTTACTTTTATTTTTATATTCTAAGTATTACATTGGCGTACATCATCATTCATATCTACCGTAGATATATATTTCGCATTTTAAACCGTTGAAAGTGTTTTATTTATTAGAAAAAAAAATATTACAATTATATGAATAAACTTCGAATTAGAAACAAGTTCAATTTAGTTACCATTTACCTGGGTCTCTAGCAACAAGCGCTTCTAACACAACAAGAGTGTCAACTCGCTCTGCCCATGACATCCCGGCCAAAGCTGTCTCATATTGGTCTTCCAAGCTAGCTGCAAGTGACCCAAGACTCTCCGATATTCTGGGTACGGGAGCCACTACTGGTTCCTCCAAAGGTATTTCTGCGTCAGTCTATACAAGGAGTAAAGAACAGTATTGAAATATATGCTTATTATGATTTAGTTCTTAGTTTAGTTAGACTAAGGACAAACATATTCAAAAAGTAAATGAGTTTTCGTATACGTCAAACGATCTATGACTTTCGCTGAAAATATATAATATATTTATTTAAAACATGTATATAACTGCCAGAATTTCTTTTACAATCTACCGTAGTACCGTAGTATTTCAAAGTACCGAAGAGTATTAAAATATCTGAATTCTTACCTCAGTATCATCCGTTTCAGTGTCTAAATCAATATCAGAAACTTGTTGGAGCTCCATAATCTGTCGATTCAAAAGATCTTCCTCTTCACATAGCTTACGTTGATCCACTTCTGACTGAAAGTCTAACGCTAAACTTATTTTTCTCTCGTTCTCCTCGATTTGCGACGTCATTTCAGCTATCTCAGACATCTCCGAGGGATCTGCCGATTTCAATATCTCGTTGTGATCAGATATATGGTCATCATCGTCCAGAAAGTTGAAAGTAGATTTAAATTCTGCCTTCCATTTGTCAAAGTCAAATTTCTCATGAAGACTTTCCTGTGATCTGGATAAACCCATTGTTAGACTTTCTAGAGAGGAATGTAACCGGTTTTTCGCCTCTTTCGAAGACATTTTAGCCTTTTCAGACTTCTTTGTTAGTACTTTATTTTTAGAGGAACGAGTTTTTAAACCAGTGACGTCAGATTTCTGTCTCCTCATCGTTGGATCTTTTTGCTTTTCAGATTTCTTAGCTACCCTCGTTGCTTTTTCGGATTTCTTTTCTTTAGCAACTTTTTGTGGCTGTTCCGATTTTGCACGATCGCTACTCATTTTTGATTCTAAAATAGGGTTTTCTTCTTTTGGAGATTCTAACATATTCAATGTAGGGAGACTGGCTGTTGCTGAAGGTTGGCGAAATCTATTGGCCCAGTGACTTTTTGACTGTTTTTTAGATTCTCGTTTCGATTTTACAGTTAACCAACCGTCGTTATCATTTTTAACACTAACGTCAAGAATTTCTATAGAATTAGCCCCTGGTATAGTCTGTAAATCTTCTGGAACAAGAGTTTTTATACTTTCATTAGATTCATTACGTGTCATATCCACCGGCGAAGTAGCACTACCACCGGCTTTTTCTATGAACGCGCTAACTTTGACACGTTTATCGCCTTTTTCGTTGACTTTTAATGATGTGGGCCGAAGCCTTGTTTTAATATTTGCTCGATTCCCTAATTTCGCATCACCTGAGCCCATATGTGCATTTTTAACTGTCAATTTCTTAACGACAATCTGGCCTTTAGCCAGGGAAGTAGATGGTGCTGTATCGAAAAGACTAGTCCTTTCTGTAGTTAAATTAAAAGGATAGCTACATTTACTAGTCTGAGTTCTTTTTTGTAAAGGTCTTAAAGTTTTAACAGGTACAGGACGTATTTCTACGACTGTAGAGCTTCTGGCTAGTCTTACAGGCATTTTTACGTCAGTTTTATTAACTACTACTTTAGGTTTTGCGGCCGCTTGAGAATATGCCGGCTTAGACTTTATCTCAGACTTTTTATTATCTACATCCTTTTTTGTTTCTTTGTCTAAATCAGTCACGGGTATAGCTGTAATTGAATCCGCTTTTATATTGTTTTGTGCTAGAACATTAGTTTTATTTGGGGAAACAAAATTATTTTTATTATCTTTAATGGTTGTATCAGTCTTCTCAAATAAAATAACTGTTTCTACTTTTAACTCTATGTCACCATTGTGCAGTTCCGTATAAGCCACTTGATCTTTTGCTTTATCATTTGCGTCAGATGTGTTCTCATCCTGAATTTCTCCGTTGTCTTTTTCATTCTTCAATACGTTTTCGTCTAATTCAGATTTAGGAGAACTTTCATCAGACACATCAGCAAAATTGTCTTCCGATTTTGTCGGGGATCCCTGAATGTTTTCTATTTTATCATCTAGTGCAACAATTAAAACACTACTCTCTGGTGCAATTACTTGCTGTTCATCGTCCCTGTCTTTATTAATTAGGTTCTCATTGTGAATTTTATTCCCAGCTATTTGTTTTTCTAAATATTCAGTTTCCATAGCATTTAGTTTATTTATCGTAGATGTAGCTTGAGTGGACAACTCCGCATTTCTTTTCTTTAAATTATCTTTATTACTTGTGAGTTTAGGTGATTTTATTACAACTAATTTTGGAGATACACTAGGACTGAGCTTAGCCTGCCCTATCTCAATACATTTGGGTTTTAATGTATCCATTTCTTCACTATTTTCCAGCAATTTTATATTTTCTTCGCTGGCATCTTTACTATCTTTTTCTTTAATGTCTGAAAGTCTTGATGATTCTTTAGGTATTTTAGGCTCTGGTTTAGCTGTTACTTTGGATGCATTAATTTTGTTACTGAAGAATTCAATGTTTGCTTTTGGACTAATACTAGAATTACCTGAAGAAATTCTAGGACTTATTTTGCCACTTCCTGGACTTGCTTTACCAGATGGATTAGGGCTGTTTTTACCACTGGGCGTGTTGTAACCAGAAAGAGAAGGACTATTTTTACCAGACACGGTTGGTGAACTTTTGACAGAAAAAGCGCGTTTTGGTTCTGGTTTAACAAAATCAGACTTTCTTATTTCCCATGCCAGACTTTGAGGCCGATGTGGTGGTGGAGTATTGTCATAGTCCCATTTTACTCTAAACCATTCTGCCAATGCCTTAAAATCTCGAGTATAGTTCTCCAAAACTAAGATTACTTCTTGGCACTCATTGATATTTTCATTGGCTTCTACTGTATTGTAAATTTCTCCAATCTGTAATTTTGAAAGTAACTTTATATTTTAAACATTGCATTTACTAGCAAATGACATTATAGCATAACAAATCATATAACCTTGAATCCATACAATTTAAGAACAACTTGGACTTATTAAGTATTTCAATTTAGAGTAATTATCTTAAACCTAAAAAATATATATCTGTTTACACTAACATATGTTATTTTATCATGTACATATAGATGAAAACTTTATTTATAGCGGTATTTTAACATAATGTGAAATGGTAATAATTTTAATGCACTAATAAAATAAAATTATTAAAATTTGCATGAACTTACAGCTCTCTGCAAATCTCCAAAAAGTAATGCCCAATATCGAGCCCTCAGCTCTGAACGCTTGTCACGGCCTGCAGATGCTGACCGAAGTCTTGTAGCTCGAGTTGGGGGACGTGGGGCTGGTGGCAATGCTCTAGGAGGCTTACGTGCTACTTTTGGGCCTAAAATATGAAACTATTTAATTTAGTTAACTAAACATTATAATTAATATATAATAATTATATATATATTTATAGACACTAAACTGAAAAATATGTATTCAATTTGTGCACAATTTTAGAAGATTGTGCAGAAATGTGCCGATCAAACAAAACCATAAACAAAATACCAATATTTTAAATAGAAGTTCTATCAAAATATATGACAAGTAACATAATAATTAGCTAGGTATCTTACTAATGTTGAAAACATTATCAACTTAATTGTCAAACCTACGTAAACGCCTTTTTAAATATAATAATAAAATTACCTGGTGTATCCACAGTCACATGATAAGCTACCAAGTTTCTCGCTTCTCGACCTTCTTCTTGTACCAACTGCCTCACTTCTTCCATATCAAATCAAAATAAATAATTCGTTATAAAACAAATAGAAAAATACAAAAGACATTACTCCTGCATTAACGTATCTCACTACTCGACACACAATAAAATTAAGCCTATAATGTAAACAATAATGACAAGAATTATTTATTTATCGAAAATATTTGAAACGAAAGAAATATAACATTATTAATAACAAATCGTAACGATTATTTATTTCAGAGTTCTTCGTTTTTGATAGTTTTTGTTTTTTTCTATCCCCGTCAATATTTTATTGACATCTAATTTTTATAGACAAAAAAGTTTTATTTTTTTTAACAAGATTGAATAGTAACATTGATAGACTAGTAACAAGGACCTTTAAGGCGGTTTATAGCTTTCTAAATATTTATGTCTAGAAATGTTTGAATTTTACATATTATGTTTGTTCCTCGTAAATTTGCAAGGTATTTTAATTTTTAAATACTATTGAACGAGATTAAACCACATCACAGACATGTTTGATGTTTTATTTCCTGTGCTTATTGGAAACTCTAAAACCGACGACTATAATCTGTGACAGTTCTTTTCATTATCAAGCAAAATGGCGGATCAGGTTGGTGCCGAATTTATAGTGATTTTATTAATTATTTACGGAATTTATGATATATAATCATTTTTTACATTGAATTAACTATTTTCTTAAATTCTGAGATATAAATTTCATATAATTTCGCGTAATGAAAGTGGAAATGTGTTTGTTGTTTTCATCCACGTGGGAAACGGTTTTACATACTTTCCTCATTGGGAAATACAAATTGCCTGTTTGAGAAGAAAGCTATTAAGATGTCTCTCCTTAACAAAATTATTAAAATATGTAAAACATCACGAAGTACTTTGTCAGGTCATATATATATTACCTAATTTAGGTTAGGTTAGAGTATTTTTCGAATTTCTTTATCAATTTAATGTTCACATATACTATCTAAATATTAGTAATAGAATTATTTAAGAATTTTTACTAATATTAATTGCATTTGCAGACGGAACGTTCATTCCAAAAGCAACCAACGGTGTTTTTAAACCGTAAAAAGGGCATTGGTGTGAAACGTAGCCGAAAACCACTGAGGTACCACAAAGACGTGGGCCTCGGTTTCAAAACTCCGAGAGAGGTAAAACTTATACTAATGTGTGACTTTTTTCTGTAGACAGAGAAAGCGTTTCAGAAACAGTTGACGGTGTTCCTCAACCGTAAAGGAGGCCTCAAGCGGAAGGACATGAGACATCATAAGAATGTCGGTCTAGGCTTCAAAACTCCGAGAGAGGTCTGATACTGTTTACAGTTCCTACACTGGTGGTGGCTTCATCATGCTATGGGAGTTATAACTGTTCACTATCGAAATGTACACCACAACTTTGGTCACTATATAGTAAAAATCATAAGTGATGTTTTAACATTCAACAACAATAATTTTTTAATTGCTTGGTAATAGCTTTAAGTGAACAGTTACCCACATGCTCGTAAATATACAACATGGCTATTGCGTCTTATATGTGGGCTATGGTAAGGTGCATGTTATGGGAATAAGGATGCTATACGCTAAGATACACATGCTAAGATTATGTTGTCTATTGCTGAAAGTTGGTCTATCATTCTTCAGTATACTATTAGATAAATCCAAACTTCAGCTATAGCTTCAAAAAAATTTAAGCTACTTATTAAGCTATATGTATAAAAAAAGATGAAGCTTACTGTGCTAAACTTCTGTATATTTAAAGATGTTGATAATTAAATTATATTGCTGATGATCAATATATTTTTTTACTGATATCTTTAAATATATACATATGCATAAATCATTAAACATTAACAGTTAAAAGACACTTGAGAACAGTAATGGGCTATTATGTATTTAAGTTAAAACCAATATGATGATATTTTCACGATGGTCTTCTGACTACAAAATGAAGATTCTGTTTACCCACACTCTGATTGGTCTAAAACTTTCTTGTATGGTTCAGCTCTGCAATCAAGATCTTTTTGTTTGCTTTTATACTATATTATTATTGCAGCAACAGAAACTAAGATATGTTAATTTCTATTTAAATGTTTACAGGCTATTGAGGGCACTTACATTGACAAGAAATGTCCATTTACTGGAAATGTTTCAATCCGTGGCCGTATCCTCACTGGAGTTGTCCAGAAAATGAAGATGCAAAGAACCATTGTCATCAGGCGTGATTACCTTCACTATCTGCCCAAATACAATAGATTCGAGAAGAGACACAGAAATATGTCTGTTCACTTATCACCTTGCTTCAGGTAAAATTTTCCAAATATTTTCTCCAAAAAAAAGTAAAATTTTCGCAGTTCTTAATAATATAAATTTAATTTTCTTAACTTTTTATAATTATTATGATTAAGCTCATAGGAGTTTTGCCATGCACATCTTGTATTCAATTTAGGTTCCTTACTATTGGATAATAAAACCACAAATCTATGCTTAATCATTGTCAATTTTTATGATGATACTCACACGACGGTCTTCTGAAGACTATTTGACGAAAAACGTGTTCTAACCCAAAATCTGATATTTGCAAATGTATACTATAAAGTACAAGCAATCTTGACCCCTAATTCATTAGGCTATATCATTGTTTTCAGAGATGTGGAGTTAGGAGACATTGTGACTATTGGTGAATGCAGACCACTCTCCAAAACGGTCAGATTCAATGTATTAAAAGTCTCCAAAGGCAAGGGATCAAAGAAGTCATTCAAAAAATTCTAAATAAAATTACTTCATAAGTATATGATGGTTTTTAATTCCATACACATCAATCCACTTTATGTTGCATTAATAACACAATATAAATTAACATTATATTTTTTTTTAAATTGGAAAAGTAATTAATAGAGAAACCAATGGTAAAACTAGTGACCACCACTAACAAGCTGTATAAGATGTTGATCTTCCAACTGACCTATAGAATCACTTGAATTCAAATTTGATAATCTGAGGAAAATGGTATTAAATATTGCAAATATCTATCCTAGTGTTATAAAGCTATAGTTTGTTTTCTCAAACAATCCTTCATCTCGAGAACTACTGGTTTAAATTGAAAAATTATTAGTGTTGGTTGTCAAGAAATAGAAAGGGAAGAATTGTGCAGCTTTGACTGCACTGGGAAAAAGTTAATTAATTCAGTTATCAAATCAATCAGTTAATAAAATATATCCAAAAAATTCAGTAACATTAACTGTAGAGAAGGATTAATAATCCATTGAATATTCTAGAATAATCATACTTTATTAAAATTAAATTACTGTACTAAAATAAATATTCTCATTATACCCAACTTGTTTACTTGTAAAGGTACTGTCCCTGAGTACATGCCTACGTAGATTTAGATTTTTATAAAATGTTATTTTTTTCCCTAGACAATAAGAATATAAGTTTTAATTTATGATAAGAGACAATAATGTTAAGTTTCTGTTATAAATACTCCTTTATAAATGACTCAACAGTCTTAAGAAGAAATATTATGTAGTTGCTATGGTTACACTTCTAGTTACAATATAGTTAGCAAAAAGATGTGAGTACCTTAAAAGCCATATACATTTTATTTTCTTTTACTTTATAATAATAGTTTCCTAAGTAAAATAAATAAATAAAATAAAAAACTCAAATTTATCAAAATATGAAATATGCGGTATTTCAAATCAGTCTGTGGCATAAGGCATTAGAGTGATCTGTATAATCTGTAGTCAATGTTTTATGTATTATAATTATTATTACAAATGTCAAATATGCCTGATTTGGACTACGTAACAAAGTAAATTATATACCATATAACGTTAATAAAAATATTATGATATCGTTTTTCTCTAAGCTCTCATTAAGCAGTTCTCAGAAGGTTCCGGTGGAAGTCGCTAAACCCGCTTATATGGACAAAAGTGCTTCACTACAGGAACTTGGCTATAAGGACGATAATGATTTAAGAGAAACGATTTATGGTTTGTTCTGAACGATTTAGACTTCTATTGTGTAGTTTTTGTGTTTCTAATCAGTGTTGTGGTGTTTTAGACTTTTTGCGGACAATACGGGATCCAGAGAAGCCGAGTACTTTAGAGGATCTCAAAGTTGTTTATGAAGAAGGTATCTTTATCAAAGAGCCTACTGAAGATAATGTCCCTGTTCTGAGGGTCGAGTTTAATCCGACTGTGCCCCATTGTTCTTTGGCGACCTTAATCGGGTTGTGTATTCGAATAAAGATACAAAGGTCACTCAACCACCCTGTCAAACTGGACATCTATATAAAAAAAGGTGCACACACTACAGAAGATGAAAGTAAGATATTTCATCCTTTTGCATGTATGTTACAAATATTTTTATAACGCGATATATTAGTTAAAATCATTTTCAAATAAGTTTAACTAATATATCGCGTTTTAAACCGTTAAAGTGTTTTATTTAAATGTGTACTACTCGCGTAAACTATAGACAGTATTTAATATAAATATGATTTTTATTACTGAGAGTAGTAGAGTAGGTGTTTCTTTCTTATACTATAACTCTTTAAGTTTAGTAAAGTTATGTTTTTAGCATTCAACAACTAAATTAATAGAACAAAAAAAAACAAGACTATCAATGTGGTTTTAGATCTAATGTAATAAATAAATAGTATACTGTATGAATTGCCTTTTTTCTTTGACATTAATTGAGGCATGTTTGTTTAGGTGGGGACACTTATCAGTCCTACATATATTATCACAATATTTTAAAATCCTTATCTTAAGTCTAGAGCTTACCTTTTAAATATATGTTGATAATTTGTTTTATTTTATAAAGGAAAATACCATTTATCTTGTAAACAATGCATTGTTTTATATACAGGTCTAAAAAATGCCATGTTTCTTTAAAGTAACAAACTAAAAAGAAAAGACTAAATGTGTATTAAATGTTTAAGCCTAACGAAATATTCCTCTTATAGATATTTCATAGCTTTTTTATATTAAGTGTAATTGAGCTTGATGACGATGTGATGATTTTTCAATCACGGTATTCAATTAGTCCAGAAAAATCTCTTAACCCATGTTTTAATCCACCCCAGTTAAATGGATAATTATTATTTATCTTGTAGCTTGTCTAATAATCAAACAGGTTATCCTAGTAAAATATACTTAGTAATTACAGTATGCATACTGCTTTACTATTATAAAATATTGCTATTAAGGCTTATTGTGTTGGTAATGTTAGACTTCACATATTATAAGATGGTTTAAGCAAACAAGCATGATCATTTTGCTGTACTATAAATTTATTTATTTATTTACAGTTAACAAGCAGATCAATGACAAAGAAAGGATTGCAGCTGCAATGGAAAACCCCAACCTTCGGAACCTTGTAGAAAGTTGCATTGCAGATGAAGAATAGTTTTTAGTTCATATTAAAAACGTAGATTAGTTAAAGATTTAGCCATGGCACCTGACGCAGCATTCTCAAATATAAGTGATAAGAATGAATTTACAAAGTTCACTAAGTTCCTCGCATACAAAGGCGTGCAGGTCATTGTCGAATCGAGGAAAGGAATCAAAATAGAACCGAACACAAAACAACATTCATCAGATACAGATTGGTTTAACCTACAAATACCGGACTCTCCTGAAGTTAACCAAGCAACAAAGAATGCTCTGCCCTCCGATAGAATTCTGGAAACTATAAGATCTCAGTTAAATGTAGAAATATCTGTACAAACAGAAGATGGAGATGAAATGGTTTTAGAGTTGTGGACTTTGGGACTGGATGAGACACAGTTTGATTCCTCTTTAAAAGCTATGAATACCATATATTTTAGAATGGGTATATTACTGAAATCTCTCATTACTATAACTAGAATAACACCAGCGTATCATCTATCCCGAAAACAAAGGACTGAATCATTTACTATTTTTTACAGAGTTTACAGCGGGGAACCAAAATTTAAAGCATTGGGCGATTCAGTTAAGAAAGTTCAAGCAGGAATGCTCAAAACTCCATTAGGAGGTTTGGGATTCAGTGTTTCTTATCGAACAAATTTCTCTATTTCACCCAATAGATCAGAAAAAAACAAAACACTTCTTTTGAAGAGTGATCACTTTGAACTGAGCCCTAAACATGTAATATTTGAAACTAAGAAAAAAAAGGAACCCCGCTCTCCACAATTAGTTGACCTTAATAAACCTCTTCGTTTAGCAGCATTTGTTGATGAATTTCTCGTGGAACAAGTGATCAGAGAGTTCTTTGAGAAAATACCAATTCCAAAATGCAGAGTACAACCAAAGTTGAAGTTACTTGTGGATGATAAAACGACATTATGCAAGAGCACTCAAGAATTGGATATGAGCACTATCTCTAAAAGCCCTACGTCCCTTGAAATGCCTCCTAAAAAGTTTCCAGGATTTAGAAGCGAAAATGAACCGCCGTTAAAATTGCTCTGTTTTCCTTTTGCAGACAATCATCCCATAAGAGAGCTGGCTGAATTTTACAAAGATTTCTTTAATGCCCCCCATTTAAAGTTATCAGATTATGATTCAGCATTCAAAGAAGAGAAAGTTGAAATGACAACTGAAGATTTTTCTGAAGATTTAGCCAAACATGAAAACTCTATGATAGAATTTGACCAGTTAGTAGATGATATGTGCCGGTCGGCTGAGTGGAGTGGGAATTAGGTGGAAGACTGAATTGTTATGGGATTTAAAATAAACTTCTAATGTTGTTTGAAGGTTCTTTATTCATTATTGATTCGTTATTTAGAAAGATCGCGAAGGTTTATACAATTCATAGTAAATTTAATTCATTAATGCCTATATTTCTCAATCATTCCTAATATCAATGTTAATTGGAACTAAATATTTCGGATTAGAGAATTAGTTATTTGTTAATTTAAGACTGAACAAAATTATAATTTCAAGACTGGATCTGATCTGACGAATGGGTTTTAGTGACCTTGCCATTTTCTAATGTATGCCATTAGAAAATGGCAAGGTCAATGAAATATATGTATACCTATAACTATTTATCAATAGATATATATTTACAAGGTAATTTTCATTCATAGTGGGCATTACATGAATTGTCCATGTTTTTAGAGTAAGTATTTTATTTTATACGAGAATACCTAGGTATAATTTATACAAGGCATTGTATAATGTGTAACATCTTTTTAAAAATTATTTGATTCATTTTGTGTCTTGAACTGTATATAAATTCATTATGATAATAAAATTTGGAAAACACGTTTATTTTTTACCATCCTGGATTATACAAATTAATTTAAATAAAAAAATCTAGTATATGTACTATCTCAGTGTACTACTACATACTAAAAATATAGGTCATTAAATCACTCCAATTTTATAAAATTGTTTTTAGTATAGCTACTAGAATAAATATTACAATTTTACTGAGCTTTAGCAAAATCTCTAAGAGCTTTTGTTAGAGAAAGAGCGTATAGCATTCTTCGTAAAAAAACCAAATTCTATAACCTTTACAAACATAAAAATAAAATATTTTTTTATCTTCGTTTAGGTACTCCCATATTGACAATAAGTTATCTGTTTACAATAACAACAGCCTATGTACGACGAATCAATTATCACCATAAATTATAATGTTTATTGTCAATTTACGTGATATATCATACTGGCACGTCGTCGACACCTGACAGTCGTCGATCTGTCAAAAGTCAAAACAACGGCGAGTGTTTTGTTTTCATCCAATAATTTCATTTTCTATTCAATTATATTTTCGAGAATTGATCCCAAATAAATTAATTATTGAATCGTATATCACGATGTTGGTGCAAAATACAAATTTATAAACTTTAAAAGCAAATGAACATAATAGATCTCACTTAGTATTTACTTAAGTAACTCAGAACTAACTCTAACCTAAGTAATTGTTAAAATGTATTCAATTTGCCGGCAAAGCCACCCCGCTACGGGAGTAGAGTATGCCGTTAGCTGTTGCTTCTTTGAGAACGAGGAAATGTGCTTAGTTACTGCGGGTGCGAATATACTTAAGGTATTCCGGCTCGTACCTGACGGTAACACCAAAGAAGTAAATGCAGGTTCGTCTTCACTATAGTCATATTCCATTTATTTACTTTCTCCTAATCTCCTACTCTCAATTGCCTCTATGGCACCGTTGCTTCATACCCGACGACCTAGATTAGAACATCATATTATTTAAATTACAGCTGGACAACCAATACCTCCTAAGATGAAGCTGGAATGTCTAGCATCATATACACTTTGGGGCAACGTAATGTCTATTGCATCTGTCAAATGTCCAAGTGCTGGTCGAGATCTCTTACTTGTATCATTTAGAGAGGCTAAATTATCAGTACTGCAGTATGACCCACAAACAAACAATTTAGTAACATTAAGTATGCATTATTTTGAAGAGGATGATATGAAGGTATCTACATACTATTTTGTTACTTTAAATATTATCAAACTGAACAGTTAATAATCCTTTAGGGTTTTGCTTCATTTTAAATAATCTCAATTTCTTCGACTTCTATGAATATAGTGGAACAGTGTCATTGACACAAGAGGGGCCTTTTTTACTTATAAATCTGGTTGTCTATATAAATAATGATGTATGGCAGAATTTTAAATAATGTTTACTTACTTCATAAATATTCTACTTACTAAATAGTCATTTAACAGAATGGTTGGACGACACACCCTCATATTCCCTGGATAAGAGTAGATCCAGAGTTTCGATGTGCTGTAATGTTGTTATATGGAAAGAAGTTAGCTGTTTTGCCATTTAGAAAAGATTTGACTTCTGAGGAGGGGGATCCTTTAGAAGCTAAACCTTTAGAGGATAATAAGAAAAATGTAAGTACATGACCTAAAAATAGTCATTATTTTTATCTTAAAACTGACTTTCTCAAACTGGCCAAAGACATTATTATGATGAAACAAAGTAAAAAGAAATACATGTTCACATATTGTTTTTTGTTGTTTGAACTTACTTTCATTAGAGAAAAAAGCATATCTAATTTAGAAGGTAAAAACAAATACTTATATCTTAATTCTTTTTAGCCAACACAGCCAATGATGCGTGCACCTACACTAGCATCTTATGTTATAGTTCTCAAGGATTTGGATGAGAAGATTGATAATATATTGGATATTCAGTTCCTTTATGGGTATTATGAGCCAACGTTGCTGCTTTTGTATGAACCTGTGAGGACATTCCCCGGGTAAGGCTTGTAGTACTGAATACCTATATAAGTATGGTATGTACTTACCATATAATTTATTTGTAATATATTTATTATTAGATAGATGTTAACTAGTCAGAATAATTTTAATTACGATTTTCTTGCTAAGTTTACAACTACGTATGACTAAAATTCCGTCTTTAGACGAGTCGCAGTTCGGAGCGATACATGTGCGATGGCAGGTGTGTCTCTGAATATGAGTGCTCGAGTGCATCCAGTAATCTGGGCGACTGGAGGTCTGCCATTTGACTGTCTACAAGCAGTTCCTGTTCAAAAGCCACTTGGTAATATATACTGTTTTTTTTTGTTTTATGCTAAAGCTCATAAATTTTTATTAAAATTACTCTATTAACTCAGTTTACTTGCTGGTTTGTTGTTTTTTTTATTGTTCTTACCTTCATTTATTAGTTGCAAGCAAGAAGTTTATCTGATTCTTTACTCTGTCCAACTGAAGTTTTTATTGAGTCATTGCGTCAGTTGTACACATATAACAAATACCTTTATAACATTTTTTTTTTTAATATTTAATATAAATAGGTTTCAAAGTTGCCTAAGTGTGCGTGTAACGCAGTTTAATATTTTAAATCTTTTCAGGTGGCTGCCTCATATTGGCAGCGAACTCACTCATTTACCTGAATCAGTCGGTGCCACCATATGGCGTGTCCCTGAACAGCATTGCTACCCAAACAACAAATTTTCCATTACGTAAGATAATATTATTACTTAGATATTGTAGAAAAGTATTAAGAAGATCTCATACTAAAAGAAATGTCTCAATATTCAAATAGACTTAAAAGCCAAACATTTTTAATTTCTTCAAGATACAAATGAGAGCTTGAAATTTTTAGATAGGTTGACACTCAGGTGGGTGGACACAGGTCCCACCAACTAACTATAACGGTTTTTAAAACCCTGTTTTTGACATAAGTTGGTTTCATTCACGAAGATGAAGACAATTATTATTTTCTATTGATTCTACATGAACTGGTGAACTTCCATTAATTTCTCCATAACATAAAGATGCTAGATAGTAAATATTCCTTATTCCCATTTAAAATATTTTAGAATTGCTTCAAATAAGATACTTAAATAAAAAAGATTTTTACAGGCATCCAAGAAGGAATATGTATAACTTTGGATGGCGCCAAGGTGGCAACTTTGGGCGAGAGTCGCGTAGCGCTGGCGCTGCGTGGAGGTCAACTCTACGTGCTAACTCTTCTCTCGGACTCCGTGAGAAGTGTTAACAGTTTTCATTTGGATAGGGCTGCCGCTTCAGTACTCACTAGCTGCGTACGTATACGTTCAAATAGATACAAAATAGTCTTTGCTTCTATTTGAATTTGTTGTTGTAGATTTTTATTTTTAACAAGAATTTGTCGATAAAAAATATCAACAGTTTCTGGAATCGTAAAACCAGTCACATTCTACTATAAAATTTAAATATACTTCATATAACGGTGAATTCTGTATATTTAAAATAAGAACCGTGCAAAAGTGTTTTAGGCCCATTTAGCCCAATATTCCCTTATTTTAATAAATCCTTTGAGTAAATTTTTGGAAATAGCACTAGAGTCGATTAAGTCAAGTTATATTTAGAAACAATGTTTTTCTTTCTTTCAGAGTCTTAAAGCTTTTTTTTATTTATTAAATGAATAATTTTCAGATGTGCGTAATAGAAGAGGACTTTCTCTTCCTGGGTTCACGTTTGGGTAACTCCCTCTTACTAAGAGTGACTGAAAGAGAGAACAGAATGATTTTCTCAATCGACCGACCTTTGGCAGCCACCGTCGATCTCACTGAAGGTAATTAAATAAATGTCTACTATTTACTGTCTATGAAAAGTTTACACATTAAAATAAAACCAGTTAAATGTTATCAAACTGACTTTATTAGGATTTTATATATGTTTTAGAGGTGGCGAAGTTCTTATTAGCAATTTAATTTTTTACAGTAGGTAAATGTGCTTAGTCATACTCACACTGTTATAAATGTTAGCTACTTAAGTCTTTAATTGATTGTAATTTAAAGTGATTAAAAACCTCATATCAATTATCTAGAAGCTGCAAGAGAAATAACACAATCCAATAAGGAAGCGGGAAAGGATTCTGATCCGGCTGCAAAGAAACGCCGTATGGATACCATAAGCGACTGTGTCGCGTCAAATGTCATAGAGATCAGTGATAAAGACGAGCTTGAAGTATATGGGTCTGATATCAGAACTTCCACACAGTTGACCAGCTATGTTTTTGAGGTAAACTAATTTAGCGTCAATTCATATTAAAATATGGATCTTTGAAGTCGGCTTTATTAAAGTAAAATAGATTTTAGTGTGTTACTGAACATAATCTATATCTTAAGATTGTTTACATTTATAATTATACATGTACGTACATATTACGTCAAGTCAATGAAATTGAAAATTTGATTCTCCATCAAGTGAAGTTCTTCACATGTCTTCTTTGTCCTCCTTTCTAAAAAAAAAACAATATTGTGAAAAAAGTTAGTTAATACGACGTATTTGACACGTAGAAAGCAAAGTGTGTATGTTTATCTAGGATTTAATTTCTTAGATAGCTTATAGTTAGAACAGTTTCAAAATTTCCAGGTTTGTGATTCGCTATTGAATATTTGTCCAATTGGTGACATATCTATGGGCGAAGTGCAATTAGTGAGCGAAGAACGAAGGAATGACCATAACACAATAGAATTGGTCGCTTGTTGTGGCCGAGGGAAAAATGGCGCTTTGGCTGTGCTGCAGCGGTCTGTCAGACCTCAGCTGGTCACAGCGTTTGAGTTACCCGGTAAGATAAGTCAAGATAGTCTATATTATTGCTAATATCCTTACTTAAGGTAGTACTAGTGCAGTAAGCACCTCTTTAGTTTTTATTTCACTTTTATCAACAAACGGGACAGTAACGAAGAGTTGACGGTTTCGTTGTGTGTAATGGTAGCAATTCATGGCTAATAATCAACTGGGTGCTGGTACGATCCCCACTGGGTTCCATGCTTCCAAACAAAGTTGAATATTTTTCCAATCAATTTATAGGTTTTCTGAAACATGTTGGACTTCGTTTGGAAGTCCGGATATTAAATGGGTGTTGGGTATATTAAAATTCCGTCCGAATCACGAACATTCCAATCCACAAATTTAAAAGCCGTGAAGTTTAAACTGAATTTAGTAAGCATAAAGGTAAAAATAGTATTATAAAAATAAAAAGATTAAAAGTAAGTGACAGACAAAAAATACATATATTAAAGAATTTTAATTTAATTATATTTTTCGTTAAACTTTAATGTATAAGTACATATTTAATAATTTAATAAATAGGCTGCATCGATATGTGGACTGTCATCGGCGAACAAACTGAAGTACTTCGTGACGCCCACAGAGACATGGAAGGTACGCATGCGTACTTAATACTCACACAGGAGGACACGAGCATGGTAATTGCGTTTATTTAATTTACCGTTACAATTGTTTTTATATAGTTACAATAGTTATATTCAATTCAAAACACCTTTAAGGGTTTAAATTAATTAAACTTATTTTAAGTACGGCCCGACGTTTCGGGGAGACTAAATCTAGGAGACCATTGAATGTGTAGAACAAAATGCAACATAAAAGGAAAATAAACAATGTTTAATTAATCCATAGATTCTACAAACGGGTCAAGAAATCAACGAAGTTGACAATTCTGGCTTTATGACAAGTGCACCGACCGTTTTCGCGGGAAATCTTGGCAATAATAAGTTTATGGTACAAGTAACTACAGTCGCTATACGACTTATAAGAAGTAAGTATTACGATGGCATTATTTATATGTTACCGCCGTATTAATAACCACATATAATATCTATATCTACATTTTGTTTTTTCTTATTCCAACAGATGGCGTTCTTATTCAATCGATTTCACTGGAATGGACGGCGCGTACGGCTATCACAGCGGACCCGTATCTATGCGTCCTCTCGACTTGCGGACGTGCATTGGTTCTTGCTCTAAGAGAGTTAAGAGGGAAAGATTCTATGGTTAGTTTATTTTGCACTGAACCATGGCTTTTTAAATAATGTAAAAAGAACCATATTCGGCTGCTTTTCAATATCCGTTCTATTTTTTCTATTATAAATGTTCTGTCTCTTTCATTCAACAATTTAAAAAAAAAATTGTTTGTAACCATTCACGCGCCATCTTATATAAAACAAAATAGCAAAAAATAAGAAATGGCTTACAATTTATAATTGTATTTAATGTTGAATTGTATCTGTATTTAAGATTGTAATACCTTATTGTTTATGCTTTCAGTTTTAAAACCGTGGGATTTTATAAATGAAAGTATCAAAAAAATATTTTTTTCTTTTTAGTCTGGTCGTCTAGCCCCAACAAGACAAGCAGTACCACACAAGCCAGGCGTGGTTCGAGCTGCTCCATATAGAGACTTAAGTGGGCTTTTTGCGCAAACTATGGCTAATGTACAGGTAATTATTTTCAGATACTATTTAATACATTAAAATTTTAAAAACATTAAAAGAGGAAAGCTTAACTTAGGCCACCAATGGACTTTGCTATAAAGACATTTGAAAACATTATCATAAGAACGTGCAGTAATGAAGAGGCACTGGAAGAAAGAGAAAACATTAGATAACTACATGAAAAAACATTTCGATTTTTTATGGACAGGTAAAAGGTGAATTCTCGGGTAAAGCGACGAAAAACGTGAAGGCCGAAGGTCTGAAACCGGGTGTTGTGTATGAACTCAACGACGACGAATTGCTGTATGGTGGAGACCAGACCCCGGCTTCAATGGCTAGCGTAAGTATGAAGTTTCATTAAAATCAATTGAATGTTATTTAAGTAAGTTAAGTCAAATAGATAATAAATAGTACTTGTAGAAAAGACATTGCTGTGGAAAGCTAATTTACCTATATAAAACAAAATTGGCCAACAACAAAATAAAAACAGTGTAATTTAAGTAACAAATAAATATTAATTCTACGATTCTTATATACTAAGTCCTTATATACTTCGTCACAGACCAAATGACATTACAATCAAAGTGTGATACTATTTTCTTGTATCAAAATAAAAAACAATATATGAAAAATCCACAGATTATGTTAGCTGAGCAATCTCAAAACCCGGGTGTACCCCGACGTGTGTCGCGATGGTGGAAGAAGCAGCTAATTGAAGTTAAACCGACTTACTGGTTGTTTGTGGTTCGTGACAATGGGAATTTGGAGATCTACTCGCTACCAGAGATGAAGCTGAGCTTCCTCGTTAGAGACGTTTGCGCTGGAGATAGGGTGAGTGAATACTATTCAATATAACAACTTTAACGGTATAAAACAGGTGTCTTAGAACATATCTGTTGAGAGTAATCACAAAATTCGTTTGAAATTAATCAAAAAAAAAAATTTGCTCATGGGGGATTGATATCCAAATATCGGTCGTAGTTAAAAATAAGTTAACTAATATGTGTCGCGTTTTAAACCGTTAACAGTGTACTACTAGCGTGTACTACTGTCAATACTTTGATCTAAAATACTATTATTATAGGATACTATATTTATTTCAACAGATTTTAGCAGACAGCCTAGAATCTGTCCCTATACCATTGAATCCATCAGAAGAGGAAGAAATTACGTCAGGGCATAGTGTAAACGTGGATAAGCTTCAAGAGTTTTTAGTTGTGGGACTTGGTAACAAGGGTTCTAGGGTGCTCATGCTGTTTCGATTTGATGATCAACTGATGATTTATCAGGTGAGTGTGAACAAAGTAAAGAGTGAATGATGAATAGTGATGAATTTTATGATGATTAGTGATTTATAGAGTGTGTTATTTATATATTAAGTAAAGTGACTATATGCGCGAGAGGTGCATACATCAATAAGCTGAAAAAATTTCACGATGACGATTGGTTAGAGCAACACGAAACGCTGTGAATACCGGTTCGTAAAATTGTATTAATCTAAAATGGATTTTTAATTTATAAAGTGACTATTTTTAATTATTTATACTAAGTTACAGAAACCTTGTGTTTATTTTTATGAATATATTTTTTAATAAGAGTGTGTTTGTTACCAGGCATACAAGTACCCTCGGGGCAACTTGAAGCTGCGTTTCTCGCGTATGCAGGCGTCCTTCCCGTTCGGATACAAGGGCGGTTATATAAAATACCCGGATGACGGTTACGAAGCCGCTGTATTAAGGGAAAACGTGCGGTATATAAGATATTTTGGTAAATATATAGTAATTTCTTTTTAATGGTTTTATTCCTATATTGTTCCGATACCTTAACAATGAGAGTTTATATACGTTGTCAACTAATTTGTACGGGCAACATACTAAGTAAATCTACGTGTCTGTGAAGGCCACGCCCACAAGGTCATCGTCTTTTCAAGAACGAAACGTGTTTTCGTTCGGCCGTCTTGACAATACAAAATCAATCAGGCAAACGAAAAAATAATACAAATGCGACAATTGATTTCTTTTTACAAATGAACTCTTAAAAATAACTTGCTATTGTGTTCAAAGCGTGCGAGTGAGTTTTGACGTTTGAAGAATCCCTATGAATTTTTTGACCGTGATTCCTATGCAATTTCAGGTAACGTCGGAGGATACAATGGCGTATTTATTTGTGGGGAAACTCCCTACTTCCTACTCCTGACGTCACGAGGAGAGTTAAGGTTGCACCCCCTTAGTACCGAAGAAGCGCCGGTTGCATCTTTTGCCTCATTCAATAATACAAATTGTCCACAAGGATTCCTGTATTTTAATGCAAAGGTCAACAGAGCAAATCCACTCATTTTATGGTTTTAAATGGTTAAATAAATAGATATACTAAATACAATAACATTTAGAATATGCAGGAATCTTGAAAGAAAAGTTAGAAAAAACCTTTCTCCATGTCAATGCATATTTTTCAATTTTCGATTTTAGGGATCTCTACGAATCAGTGTTCTACCAACTCATCTATCATACGACGCGTCATGGGCTGTCAGAAAGGTACCCTTAAGGGAGACACCACACGCTGTTACATTCCACCTTGAGTCCAAGACCTACTGCTTGGTATCGTCTGTGGCTCACCCTACTACGTCTTATTACAAGTTTAATGGAGAAGATAAGGAGAAGAGCGCAGAGAATAAAGGAGATAGGTAACCTTTTCGTGATGTTATGGCCTTAGTTGTTTTTCTCTAGTAGATACCTACTTTAACTTCTCTGGCTCCTACATAGAAGGGGGGCAGGCATATTTGCCTTTTTCAATAATTAATTTAAATAAGTAGGTGGTCTTATGTGCTGTTCCCGACTATTTTAAAATGTGATTAATTGTTATGAAGCGGAAGGGTTTGTTAGTTTGAATGCCTTAATCTGAGGAAGTAATGGTTCGAAGAAATCTTTTTGTGTTGGATAGACCACTTCGAGGAAGTCTTTAGGCTATATAACATTATGCTGTAACCAATATATTATAAATTGCAATACTTATATAATATATTAAATGATCCTAGGTTTCCGTATCCAATGCAAGAAAAGTTTTCCGTTATGCTGTTTTCTCCTGTGTCATGGGAGATAATTCCAAATACCAGGGTCGAGTTAGACGAATGGGAACATGTGACGTGCCTCAAGAATGTGTCGTTGTCTTACGAGGGTACAACGTAAGTACAGTCAGAAAATAACGCGACATTATGAATTTGTAGAATATGATAAATAAATAAAAATGATAAATAAACAAGTACATGAGTTGCACCGGCATCTCCAGTGTTCGTGCTGTTGCTATTACCAATTGAGCTACCGTTTTACACGTCATCGTGGAATTCCTACAACTCATACATGCACAATAATACAATGTCTTATACTATCCATCTTAAAATATGATTGAAGAGGAGATTACGTTTCACATCGTTAATTATCTCATCATGGGCAATTTACCATGTGAGAATATTATTAAAAAACAAAAAATCGATCTATAATTATCTTATAGGTCGGGTCGTCGTGGGTACATTGCAATTGGCACAAACTACAACTATGGCGAAGACATTACGTCTAGGGGACGAGTAAGTTTTATTTTGTTTCTGTTAATTATATTAGTTAATTATAATCCTTAAAGGTTCAATTTGGTTTTAATTAAAATTTATTTTATTCCAGATTATAATATATGATATCATCGATGTCGTCCCTGAGCCCGGGCAGCCGTTAACAAAAAACCGTTTCAAAGAGATCTACGCTAAGGAACAAAAGGGACCGGTTACAGCTTTGACACAAGTATTGGGCTTCCTCATATCCGCTGTTGGGCAGAAGGTAAGTCGAAACTGAATTAGCGAACAAATGAACGAATCAGTTATTTTCAATACAATAACATTTTCAATTTAGTTAAGCTCTCGCGTGTCTTAAAAATCTTTAAATGTACAATTAAAGCTTGAATCGGCACAACTCATGTAATTTTATATACACTTTTAGCACCGATTCTCTATGTTATATTATTCGATCGGGTCGGGTCGTGGATTCGATCTCCACCCATTTTTCTCATTTATTTATAATTTTTCTGAAGCATGTTGGACTTTGTATGTTCGTTCGACTTCGTTCATCACGAACTATCCACAGATGAAAAAGCCGTTAAGTTAATCAGCTTTTCGGTGTCAGTGTGCATTTCGAATATCCAAAGGCGCAATAGTTCGACAGCACATCTTGTTTAGCCGCTGTAGGTGGGTGGTATTTCACCTACCACCAAGTAAACCTCGTGCTTTTCTGTCCTCTATCATAAAAAAAATAACCAAGAATACCTCTAATATCTTTTTCTAAAATATCATGCAATGTATCTTTCGTCCATCGTTCGTGTCTTATAAGTAATTGTATCAACTTTTACATTTTCAGATCTACATTTGGCAATTAAAAGACAATGACCTAGTGGGCGTGGCCTTCATTGACACGCAGATTTACGTGCATCGTATGTTGGCCGTGAAAAACCTCATATTAGTAGCCGATGTCTACAAATCGATCTCATTGTTACGGTATCAGGAGCAACATAGGACCTTGTCTCTGGTTTCCAGGGATTTTAGGTCAGCTCAGGTAAGCTATGGTTAAACAATTTTACTATATCAGTAATATACACTAATTGGCTATATACTCTGCATGTAATTTAGTTTGTTACTCAAAGAAGCATTGTTGTACTGCTCAGATTAAATTTCATTAAAGTATCTTAATTTATCAGTAATCCTTTTAATTAGTTTAATGCACTAAATAATTTATTTTATATTTAAATAAATAATGTGGTAAAGGCGTCTAAATTGGTCTTGCCTCCTTGCTGCTGTCAAAAATAATATTGATGCTAAATACAGTATAGTAAAGGTCTACGAGTACATATTACAAATTTAAAAATTATTAAAAATTATTATTATCTATCCTAGATATATGACATGGAGTTCATGGTGGACAACACTAGTCTCGGTTTCCTCGTGAGTGAGGTGGAAGGAAATTTAGCTCTTTTCATGTACCAACCTCAGGCTAGGGAAAGTTATGGAGGTGAGATAATTTGTATTTGTTTTGTGATTAATATGTATACGGATAATGTTAAAACTTTGCTACCCTGATGTAACACTCAAAACTTTTATATGAAACGTCTCATACTCCTGCGACTTAATAGTGACTACTTAGTTTCGTTTAGTAGTTTTACATCAGGAACTTAAGACTTTAGTTACCGACGTACCAACTAAGTATGATCTGTTCCAGGTCAACGACTCATCCGTAAAAGCGACTATCATTTGGGCCAGCAAGTCCACGCAATGTTTCGTATTGCTTCGAGAAATATACCCAACATGACGCATAGACGTCACGTTACGTTGTTCAGTGAGTGATTTTTTTTTTACTTAAACGCTTATTAGTCGTGCGTAGTAAGAAAAAAACAAGTAATTTTCATCTTAAAGGTGGAAAGTCAAAAAGCATATTTTTTTTTTGAGAAAATAATATCTTTAAATGTTATTTATAGCAACTCTCGACGGCGGAGTGGGTTATGTGTTGCCAGTATCAGAAAAAGTATACAGAAGATTACTGATGTTACAGAACGTGATGAACAACTATTGTTGTCACATCGCTGGTTTAAATCCGAGAGCCTTCAGGTAATTTCGAAATTTATTACATTAGAAATTATTTACTGTTTGATTGCATAAAAAGTACTTCTATAAAACAAAATAATTATGATATTTTTTTACATTTGCATATTTATAATTGGCCATTAAGGAAAAATTTCAAACGGTGCAAATATTTAAAAAAAAATACTAGCAGGTACTTAAAGATTATCTATTTTTTCCTAAAAACATAAAATAAATATTTTGTCTTTAATATTTAAATTAATACGTACTACGAACATAATACAGAGCGTGCATTGTAATTTATTGTTTGTACTTTTTAACAGGACATACAAATTCTCCCGGCGGCCTGTAGCGGGTGGAGCGGCTCGTGGTATTTTGGATGGTGATCTTGTTTCAACGTTTACATCAATGCCTATAGCCGAACAGCAAGATGTATGTCAATATAATTATTATTATAAGTGTCTCTTGGTAATGTAATTTCAAAAAATATGGAAAATTCCATCGTCTAAACTTAGTTTGTAAATTAAAGTGCTTCATATATTCTTTTATTTATTTTTAACTTTGGTCATCAGATGTTTGGGATACTTTAAAGCAGCTGAGTTTACGTCCTAAATATGACTTATATATTATCCATCATGACTATTATTAAAAAGCCCGTATATAACTTTCTGAACCAATATGTTTTTCGATTCGTGTCTCCAGTGTTATTATGTTTTTGCTTCAGATTGCAAAGAAAATTGGAACAAAAGTGGAAGAAATTTTTGGAGATTTATTCGAGATCGACAAGCTCACTGCTCACTTCTAATTTAACGCATCAATTGTAAATATTACAAATAAGAAGAATAAAGTAATTTTAGAATGTGTAGTTTAATTTTTATTGTAAAAAAAATGTTCTATAAGAAGTATTTTCCCTTTTTTTAATCTATTTTTCACAAGTAGAATATATTCTGCTGTATATTCTCTTTTTTTCCAAGTCCCCAACTTGGAAACAATTAGAATTTGAAAAAATAATACAGCGGAATATATTTTATGTTAACCGCGAGATAAATACAACTCGAAACTAAAAATAAGTCTTCAGCATATTCTAAATATTATTATCATTTCATCTTTTTTTTTCAAGACTTCATTCCTCCCTCGTTTTAAAGATAAGAGACATGTATATTCTGTCTACGATGTCGTATGTCGTGAATACCGACTTTTATTTATTATTTTACGTCAATGTAATAATTTGACCCGAAACTCATAATAGATATTATCTCAGCACCGGAATGGTAACTCATTTCCTAGATCTAATCAGATTGAGAACAATGCGCTCTATGTAGCATTGTATTATATAATGCTTGGTAGTCGTTTTGTTCCTCTTTAGCATGGTTATGGTCAAATATTCCTGCTTTAGCCATCCGGTTGCGATTCAAATTTATATTATTATGTATTATAGTGATTCATGTTGACTGATAATAAGTGATCTGATGTATCAATTAAAGATTTATTTGTTGTGATATCTCTTGATGAAAGGTAAACTATCCCAGCGGTATAACATCTAAACAAGATGCACTATTTTGCCTGTGAATATTCGAAATTCCACAGACTTAAACCGTAATACGATCGGATTTCACGGTTTTTTATCTGTGAACGGTGTTTCGTGGCGCGAACAGTAGTTTAATATTTCGACTACCTTTTTAATATCCAGATTTCCAGACGAACTCCCACATGTATCAGAAAAATTATAATATTTTTTATATTCATTATAATTGATGGAATCATATTTAACCTGAACCATGGCCTATTAATAATTATAAGCCTAACGTGCCCGTCAAATAAAAGTAATTTAAATAAGTTTTATTGCTTGTAATTAGAAGGTTAAGGTATTATTTTGTTGTTGAGTAATTAAAACAATTAATACATTATAGTACATATATGTTAGTAGCTGTTTCACGATTTGAATCTAGGGTCTCTAAAAAAGGATTGCATCTTTTAACCTTTATATATATTACTCTATTAGTACTGCTACAGAATATAATACTTAATAGAGTATATTACGTGAAAATAAACTCCAAAACAAAACCTATTCACGACATATTTGGAAGTGAAGGTAAGTTTAGTTACACTGGCCAGTTAGAAGCTAGAGCGAAAAAAAGAGTAAATTAAAGTCGCCTGTCACTTTACTATAAAATAGCGCGCGAAATTATTGTGACATCATTAGTTAGTCTACTTTCTACGGAATTTATTGAAAATGTGCGCACTGAAGGCATACGTGAGTGTCCATTTTGTTTTTATAATCATAATAAAATATATATATAAAATTCTTAGCCCGACTCATTTTAAAAAGGTGATATTTATAATGGCATATTTTTTTGAATACGCGTGTTAAAGAAATAGTTATATATATATATACTCTAAATAAAAACTTTTAAAATATTATTTATTTGGTTATGTTAAAAAATACGTCCCGCGAATCAACATAGAGAGTGCACGTTATCTGACTCTGTGAAATTCCGTTTCCCATTTGTATGATGCTTCCTGGTTTCGAATCCAGGACATGAACCGTTAAACCATGGAGACTGAATATAAAGATAGTTATTGGTTTATATTCGCTATTATGCTCGACGACTTTTGCGTAAAAAAACTAGTTAAGTTGATACGAAAATTTCCTACTACGTAACGTATTTATTAGTAACAATAAAAGATACTTAGAACTACAAATTACTCTCGAGCGCCAAATAAAAGAGTATTTACACTTTCAAGTGAACCGCGCAAAAACTGCATTAAGGCTTCTTCAAACGTGCTACTATAAATTGTTAAATTCTAAAGAGCTTAGCTTTTTATTAAGTGTTAGTGTCGACTGTTGGAAGACTTTTATGTGTTGTGTGACTGTTGGTTATTTGTCTGTACAAATGTCTTCCAAACTTATATGTATCAAAATTCAGATTATTGTTAAAAATGGTTTAGTTTGGTAATTATTTATTTGAGCAACCATTTAATAAACAAATGTTAATGGTTTAAAACGCGACATCTACTAGTCCATTTAATAATAATACAATTCGATGCAGCGGATGCTCGGTAGCATCCCGTCTGGACTAAAGTCAAATCTGCTACGTTAGCGCTTTCTGTTTTTCCATCATTTTGCTATAATTTAAATGATCTTGTCAAATCAATCAAAACTGAACAGTTCGACGGACGCTTAAACCATACGTTCACGGGGCACGTTTTATAGCAGACAATGCATCAACAACATCCGACACTCTAGCCCAACTGTAAAAAGCTTGGCGTGCAAGATGTAAACATACGGGCACACGACACTTTTTGAAACGCGAGTCTTGAACCTGTTCCCGTTAAATTAAATAGAAATATATGAAACGTAATACCTTAAAGTCCTTTTTCAAAATACTTACAGACTACGACTACTTCACCACAGATCCTTCTTCTACCGTTGCATAGATTACAATGACGTTTAATTATGAAGATGTTACTATTCTAATACGGAAATAATGTTAATTAAACATAATTTATCCAGTATATTTCGTTCTAAAACTACAGACAATACAAATCGAATATCTTAGGCCAAAATAGGCGCGTCTTGTGTATATGGCTGAGGTATTTCTCCTCCCATCAGGTTGGTCTCATGCTTGTCTATTCTCGTCTAGCATTAAAAACCACAAAGTTCACTTCGTTAGGTGCTAAAAAGTGTCCGTCCGTGCCTTATAGTTTTATTGCGTAATAGTAAATCAATAGTGTAAGAAACGCGTGTAGAACGCGACGTTTGAACCGCGCGACACTAAACGCCCAACCACAAAGTTATAGCACAACAAGCTGAGGTGATTTATTGCCAATGCGGCGGCTGACTCCTGAACACCATTTGTGGCGAAATAAATTCCCGAGAAGAATATTAGCTTGAGCGGGATATCGCTTAAGATACATTATTGGGTTTAAGATAAAGCTTTAAGCATTTATTTTAAATCTCAACTTTTGTACAACAAGCATTATTTAAGACAATAGCTTTGCGGGACTTTAGATTCTTTTGAGACGTGAGAATATATATTGTAGTGATACCTACTTATTTAAATAAAACGCTTTTAACGATTTAAAACGCGATATATTTAACTACGGTCTACACCAAACATTACTGCTGACTAGTCTTCTAGTAAAATCACGGTTGCTGCAAAGCTTCCAGAAGTCGGGCCTAGGTAAGTTAAGTAATACATTTTGTGTTTTAAACCTCAAAAGCGTTTTATTTAAAGTACCCACTCTATTAGCTAACAGTACTTTTAACGATTTAAAACGCGATATATTTAACTACGGTCTACAGCCGAACATTAGCTGCTGACTAGTCTCCTAGTAAAATCACGGTTGCTGCAAAGCTTCCGAGAAGTCGGGCCTTAGGTAAGTTAAGTAATACATTTTGTGTTTTAAACCTCAAAAGCGTTTTATTTAAAGTACCCACTCTATTAGCTAGACAGTACTTTTAATACATTTTCGAAGGACCTAATGAATATGTAGCTCACAAAAGTTGTAATTTTTAAAAGCATTACATATATAAGTGATAATCTGATGTGATTGTTATAAGACGTTTTTGAGACAAAACAAATATAATTATAAAATATAAGTACATAAATATCTGTTATAAACAGTTTTATTTTGCAAAGTGTCGTATTAAAATGCACATAAAACGCAAATATACACAGAGTTTATTCTTGAAGTGTATGTATCGCCGCGATATTTATCCGACGCGGTTTATGCGATATACGGATGAATAAAACGGTTTTATTCGCTGCACAATGTTGCAAGTGCTTCGTAAAAGAGTTCATTTGTAACCGACAGCTAAAACGGACATGGTATTTGTCCACTAAATGATTTAGTTCCAAATTATATTTTTCCGAAACCTGGATATGTGGATATTAAACGGTTGGTAGGAAATACCGATATCCCGTCTAGGTCATGAACCACCGTTCACAGTTTAATTGCGTCTGCGTTCTTGTGCGTCTTGATGATATATTAAACGGTATTTAAAAGATATTTTAGAAGCCCCATAGGTTATTTGAAATGTGACACATTTAAATAAAACACTTTAACGGTTTAAAACGCGATATATGTATTAGTTAAACTTATTTGAAAATGATTTTTAACTTCGGCCCGACGTTTCTCCCCGTGACTACGGCTGCTGCAAAGCATCCGAAACGTCGGGCCGAAGTTAAAAATCATTTTCAAATAAGTTTAACTAATACATATATCGCGTTTTAAACCGTTAAAGTGTTTTATTTAAATGTGTACTACTCGCGTAAACTATAGACAGTATCTAATGTGAGACATTTTTCTACATCCGTTGCAAATAATTTAGTAACCATGGTTACCGATTTATTGAAAAGGATCTTTGCACTCACGTGGCTCACTAATAATACGGGTAATATTGTGGATTCGATTCCTGATGAATGTAATCGGTTTTAGTTCATAGGCCGAACATTTATTTTTTCTTATATACTCTATACTATCGACAATACGTATTTAATGTATTCAAAACTAGTGATGATTAATATTTTTGTCTGATTTTAGATATTGTGCGTAATTATCGCGTCAAGTTACGCTAATAACCAACAATGGCTTCCGTACAGCAATTTGGAAACGTTTCTACAACAGCAGCAAGACCAACAGGTAAAATACCTACTTAAAGAATATTAAAAGTTACGAGCTCAAGCCATTTCATACTAAGTAATACTAAGAGGTTTAGAAAATGCTCTGAAGTAATTTTAATATAAGACGAGAATATTTGAGTGCATTATATTAATAATGAGATAATATATGATATGATATGATTACAATAAGATATTTTTAAAGCCGGAGACTCTTATTGGGTTATTAATTAGTTATAAATTAATATTCGGTTTATTGCTTAAGGTAATCGACCACTTTGGCTAATCTCCGATTTGTCAAAAGTCATTAAATAATCGAAGTAAATACCTACTAAAATATATTTCGCTATCCTAGCGTCTTGATTTCCTAGGAGTCTTTTTTGAGGAAACAGACAGAAATAAGCCTGCCACGCTTTACGTAGAACAACACTCAACACTATATATATATATATTATTATTAAACATATATATAGTGAAAACGATTTAAAATTGACTTCTTTAATGGTATTAAAATCATATTTTTCGAAAACATTTGAACCCTATCTCACAATTAAATAAATATAAGTTATTATGTATAATATTGTTCAATCGTGTTTGTTTTAGACACAATAAAGTAAAGAAGATACACAAAAGATAAGAATGTTATGAATGTAATAATACAAAGCGCGTCTATTCGTTCATACTGATTTGATTTTAAGCGATATAAAATTACTTCGACACAAAGAATCTCGGATTCCATTTGCTCTTTTTCTTTATTACACAATTCTTTTCATAAGGCTTGCATAATCTGTTGGACAATGGTTATCGAATGGAAAAAAGGTAAAAATATTCACTTTTATCTGTGCCGTTAGGGTAACCATGTTTTGGGGACGGATTGGGCATACTTTCTAATTGTATTTTTTATTTAATAAATACGATGCAATTGCGTTGATATGCCGGGTAGTTCGAGGTTACATTATATATTTGTCGTTTAATCCATCAAATAATTGTATGTAACGTCTCTACGAGAAAAGTTAACTAGTGAGTACTAATGCGATATACAATTAAAAAACGATATGTTATTGTATATCGCACTTGATTTAATCAAAAACCTTTTGCTGCACTAATTGTTTTGTTAATAAATTAAGTTGTATAAAAACTAAGCTGCTTCCAAAGCGTATAATTAATTGTATGGAGGGCATATGCTAACCAAACGTGAGTCATAACCGTTGTGATGGGGATAAAAGTCAGTATCATCATATTAATTAATCAGAATCATAGAATTAATTGTTTACCTTTTTTGTCAAATATTGCCAGTATTCGTTATTACGACTTTGGAAGTTTTTAGACTTAATGTTGGTCACCTTCTTTGTAGTGTAGGGTTTATTTTTTCGTAAAGGCTGGAAGGCTTAGCGTGAAAATTAATTTACACCTTCCACAACTCAGTTCAGATTTTAAAAGAAGCGTTATGCCTTTTTTGTTAAGCGTGCAGTTTCACGCGCGGTTAGTCAACATTTTTTTATTTATACTAACGAGGACTAGGTCGTGAGATACGCAAACAGTAAACAACAAATAAAACCAATGAAAAATACCCTAACTGATTGAATAGAAATACGTTTATTCAGAAACAACACACAAACGACAAGAACAACATAACAATTAAAACTTATTCTACACACATAATATAGGGAGAAGTAAATACGAATTAATTAAATGTTATTAGTTCACTTTTTAACCTTTCTGATATATAGATGCCTAATTCTCATAATTTTTTTTTTCAGCTGCAACCCAGCGAATATTCTGGTCACACCGGTTTCGACGGTGAATCCCCCGATTTCTCACAGTTCAGCGGGCACGACTTAGAACCACATTCCTATCCAGTTCACCAACACGTGGAAGAAGAAAATCCCGAGCCAATAAAGCATTACAAAGAAGTTGTCGTCCCTCTTCCAAAGAACGTCGAATTCAAGATTAATCAACCGATTTTAATACCGGTTCCCCATCCGATACCGATTCAAGTGCCAGTACCGAAAGCGGTTGTCATCCCTATTATTAAGGAAGTGTCTATACCAGTGGAAAAATCGGTGCCCTACCCCGTCGAGAAGGCAGTTCATGTGCCAAAGATTAAAGAAGTCCCATTCGAAGTTGTGAAACATATAATTGTGCCAGTCGAAAAACCGGTACCATTCAAAGTACCGGTTTATGAGACTATCATTCATACTAAAAAGGGTTCGCATAAGATCCGTTAATTTGGTATATATTGGGAGCTGGTGTTTTATGAGTTACCACCGATGCTAATATCAATTTAGTCTGTTATTTTCTTCTTCCTTCCGGAAAAAGCCGACTATTTTATACATAATCAAAGATAATGTAAAATTCTCTACACACTGTGAATATAATTTGAAAGTAACTGTGTCCTATCTAACAGAGGTGGTAGACCCTGTATGTTTTAGTATTATGTGTATGTTTGATTGTGTGTATGTTATCTGAACTATGATAAATGTAAATAAATTCTTTTTATATATTTTTTACTTTTATTCAGGTTAATCCATTATCATATACCATTTAAATAAAACACTTTAACGGTTTAAAACGCGATATATTAGTTAAACTTATTTAAAAATGATTTTTAACTTCGGCCCGACGTTTCGGATGCTTTGCAGCAGCCGTGGTCACGGGGAGACTTTAAGTTTAACTAATAAATCGCGTTTTAAACCGTTAAAGTGTTTTATTTAAATGTGTACTACTCGCGTAAACTGTAGACAGTATTTTATCATATACCATTCAACAAATGTCTAAGATTATTTGTTTGCATCAGCTTTAAAATAGAGCAGAACAGGGAGAGAGGAGAAAATTGTATACTTTACAGCGTTTTATTTAAATTAACTCGGTAGACAAATAATGTACGTTTTTCTAATTCAAATTCCATTCACAAATAGGGTAGGGAAAATCCGTCTACGTATTGCACTGGTGTCTTTTTACAGCGTGGGATTTGATACAAGATAATAAAATGCCATGTTCATTTTAGCTGTAAAACGTAGGGAAATGAATTATAACTATATATTGTCTATAGTTTACGCGAGTTGTACACATTTAAATAACTTTTAACTTAACTTTTAACGGTTTAAAAGGCGAAATAGTTTTGATATTTTGTAAAATGCTATATAGTAAGTAAGAGATAAAACTTCTTACATATCGCTATTATTCCTAATATATTTCACGTTTTGAACCGTTAAAAGTGTTTTATTTAAACTATATTATAGTTAGATTATTCACTAGATTTATATATAAATATAATATTATCTCTTGACAATTATAATATGATTAGTAATATTCGAACATATTCAAATCTATTGATTGTTGTAATTTTTAATCGCGTCTAAAAATCGTATCGATATCGGGCGTTGTAAAAGTGTTGAGCACTCCTGGGCCGGAATCTAATATAAGTGGAATTCCGGACATTTCTAATAGGACAGCGAATTGTAGAAGATCCTTTATTTTTATACGATGAATCATTTGTATTAGTGCACTGAGCTAGGGTTTATCATTTAAGATAGTTCATTCAAATACTGTCTATAGTTTACGCAAGTAGTACACATTTAAATAAAACACTTTAAGGTTTAAAACCATATATTAGTTAAACTTATTTAAAATTATTTATTATATAATTAAATTATAAACAGTACAAATAGACACTTAGTCAATTCTGCAACGGCCAGTTTCGCCAATATCAACTTCACAACAGATGGCCTACGTAGCAATTTTTTACTTTGAGTCAGAGACATCCTCCATCTTTAGTCTCCCCTGACCACGGCTGCTTCAAAGCATCAAAGTCGGGATTTAAAAATATTTCCAAATAAGTTTAACTAATATATCGGTTTTAAACCGTTAAAGTGTTTTATTTAAATAGTTTGTTTTTATTCTAATTATTAAATAACTAATGTGCTTGAGGTGAGGAAATGAAAAATAGTGATGTGAGAGCACTTTCAATACTTCAAACTTAAAGAAACTTCTTTTAAATAAACAAAAGTACCCAAAATCAGAATTTGACAAATTATTTCGAATAAAGGTGATCACTTAAAATTTAACCATTTCTATATTTAAGTCCAATTTAATCTTCAAATTTAAAATTTACTTTTATATACTTTTTTTGTATGGAATATACATTTATAATAAATCAATAAAGATTATCTGTGGAGTATATCTATAAAGAGTACCTCTATTTCGATATTCCTACCACCCATTCCATATCTAGAAGAAATGCATCATTGTTCAGATTTTTTTATTTCTTAGAGACATGTTAGAGCCGTGGGGACCAACCCACACCCGTTGATTGCAGCATACATTGCTACCATTAGACCCACGAGCCTGTTATACACTTTAACGGTTTAAAACGCGATATACTGTAGTGTAACTTACAGAAACGACAGAAAAGATGGCGCTAATTTAGCAGTTTTTACATTGACATAAGAGGCACCCGCTATCCTTAGTCTCCCCGTGGCCACGGCTGCTGCAAAGCATTTAAATGGTCGGGCCGTAGTTAAATAATTTTCAAACAAGTTTAACTAAAATATATTGCGTTTTAAACCGTTATAGTGTTTTATTTAAATAGTATCTGTTAAACAGTTTCAGCGATAACCGAGAACAAATTAGAAACATGGCAAAGTATTTTAGGTAATGTGGAAATACACAAAGACGTCATATTGAATATAAACACGATACAAAATATTATTATTTAAGATTGTGTTGTTTAAATTAATTTGATTGACATAATTTAATAATATAGTATACAATCTTGTTACTCTAGTTGTCGTAACCGTCTCAAAAGTTAACAAATTGATTAGAAGGTTAGAATCAAAACTAAGTTTGTGTTAGTTTTGTTATGCCGTTTAATAATTTTGCTGTGTATTTGAGAGTTCTCTCATGTATATTATAAAAAAGACATGGAATAAAATACAATACACGATACACACACTCCTCATTGCTTAAAGTCATACTTATCATCAGAACGCACTGCCATTTCGAACTAACTGCCTCCATTTTCCCATGGTCGGAGAGCAGTCGGAACTGCTCGGCACTGGGTCTGTCTGTGGGCGATCAGGTTATCTGGTGTAAAAAGCTAAGGTGTCTAAAAACGGGAAAAACTATTCACCTTCGATAGTTTCCCGTTGCGTGAGCTGCATAAACGGATCACGATTAACTACTATCTGTACTTTACGTATAAAACACTTTAAACGGTTTAAAACGCGAAATATATTAATTAAACGGCCCGACGTTTCAGACCTCCAGTAACTACTGTTGCTGCAAAGCATCCGGAATGTTACATCTAAAACTAATATGTTACGCGTTTTAAATTGTTAAAAGCGCGTTAATAATACTATCATTATATACGTCATGGAAATATTCAAAGTGTCGTTCGCGTATTGTCCAATAAGCGGATATTAAAGGGAAGTTCTTATCTGTCTGTATGTTTCCTACACCTATGTTCACGGCCGGATATTGCGAGGGCTTCCCGCTGCCGGTGTTAGTCCTTTCCTCAAGTCTCTATTGTGCTAGGTGACCTGAATTGGCAAACGTTGAACAAAAATTACATGACCCGTATAACAGTTAGCTTTCGCGATTGATATATCTAAAGTAGAAATATATCTACTCAATAAATATTTAAATAAAACCCTTTAACGGTTTAAAACGCAAAATATATTTGTTAAACTTATCTAAAGATTAGTTTCGGATGCTTTGCAGCAGCCGTGGTCTCAGTCAATAATTTGTAAGCTTAAGTTATATATTTTGCAAGTAATAAGTTTCAGTAATAAATTTTGCGTTTTAAGCCGTTAAAGTGTTCTATTTAAATGTGTACTACTCGCGTAAACTTTTTTTTAATTTATACATTTTCCAAAAACAGACTTCTAAAAATATCAAGGTAGCAATATCAAACTTTCGTTTCGAACCACCGTCCACAAAGTCGACAAAAAAGCCGTGAAATTTGTAAAAGCCAAAATACGTAGGACAGCGAATCTTGTTTTTATGTTATCTAGCTGTGTATTTCACTTTTCATCTAACGAATCCAAAGCTTGCCTCCGCCATTATAATAAAAAAATGACGTTTTGTTAAGTATAACGTATTAATATTAAGTATTCGCATCTATCCAAAGTCCTATTCTATAACGAACTCAGCTACGAATATTCAACTAAGCTATTCTATTCTCATCGTTATATAACGCGCTTTTTTATACGTGCGTGACAATTAAACATGACACGTCATTTCTATGACGTATTGCATTTCGCCCCCATTCCCATGACATAAGTATCCACTATGTTACCCTAGTGACGTATATACGATTTTATAACATAGCTTTTACACTGCGGCGCAGTTTAAGCGTGCGTAAAGATACAAAGAATGAAATCCACTGAGCTTGGCAGAGATGAATTGAAGCCATATTTCAGGAGGCCATACAATTCTACTAATATAAACGGTCAGAAATAATACACTGTATTGTCTGTACACGAGTTGTACACATGAAATACTTTTAACGGCTTATAATCCAACGCCCGACGCTTTGGTTACTTTGCAGCAGCTGATCACGGGGGCCGACTGAACCGACTGAAGATGGGAGGTGTCCCTAGTGTTAAAGGGAAATCTGCTATTCTAGCGCCACCTGTTTTGTCATAGCGAGTTTTTTTAAATATGAAGTAAGTTGTAACAGGCAATTTTTGGAAATATATACTGCTATATATTTTATTGCATGCGTATCGCGTTGCCTAGAACACACTAGACAGGTGTTGGTTTCGAATCGTAGTGAATCTATCAGGCAGGGCACAGTAGTCAGCCAAACTTACCTTATTAATGATACGGACACAGAAATGTCTTCCCTCTCAAAGGAGTAGAATATAACTTTTTTAATACAACAAATGATAAGTTTTCAGTTCAAAACCCTGTCAAAAAGAGAGTTTCAGTCGGGGAGGGGAACAGATTTTTATCCAAATTCTTCTCAGCTTTCTAAATAAATGTTCATTTATATATATAGTTAAACAAAAAATAAAAGAGGAGTATACTTATTTGCAACATGTTTTCTGGGAGTATTTTTTCGTGCAATACAACATTTACAATATTAGATTCCCTTAAACCGAATAGGGCTCTGCTCTGAAACAAAACGGGTTATAATAGCAAAAAAATTAATGACGCGACAAAGTGGGCGCTCGCTTGACGCTACATTAAGTTTTCTTTAGATAATCGCAGCGAAATATGTGCGTCAACTTATAAACTAGTTTGCTTCGGAAAAATAGATGACTCAGTGTGACCACAGGAAAATATTGCGGCTATTTCGCCCTTAATTCGAGTTATTTTCCTTGTAACTTTGGAACTTATTACTTTTAAAATCTAGAAATGTAATTTTCTTTGCTTAATAACTTTGCTTTATTTTATTCGAATCTTTCCAATTTTCAAGGATTATGACACATATGGAAGTTAATTTTCTTATAGATCTTAGTTCTATCAGATACTGACTGCAGTTTACGCAAATAGTACACATTTAAATAAAACACTAACGGTTTAAAACGCGATACATATCACTTATTTCAAAATTATTTTACCTATGGCGCTTCGAGTGCTTAAACGACTAAAGATGGAATATCGCGTTTTAAACCGTTAAAGTGTTTTTAAATAAGTCTATCAGATTTAAGTTGAAAAGATGTATTTAATAATTTTGCCTATAGTAATATCAACGATAATTATAAAGGAAGTTTGATAGTTGTATAATATATATTTGTACTGTCATAGTTACTTAAGTTTTACTAATATATGAACGTAATGTAATGTTGTACTAATTTAATAAAATAATTAATTTCTACATCAAGAAGAGATCTAACAAATAAAAAAATGTAGGTACTAAAAATAATTTATTTTACTGGCAACATTATATTATTTACTATCTATAGCTTTTATAATCTCAACATCTTTGACTGTGGTGTACAAGAGTCTTTTAATCAGAAGAAAATCCGGAGATTGTGTTTGACTCTTCGTTTCTTCGTCCACCAGACGTTCCGTTAAAATATTTTCACCGAACTTCTTGAATTCCTCATCTGCGCCATGGTAGTGACGGAAAAGCATTAAAATACACCTGATCACGACAAACGATATCAGTGTTACCAACACACAAAATATTGCGTAACGCCACCACATTTTTGTGATATTTAATTTGGATTAAAATTTTGAAATGTCTACAGCGTTGTAATTTAAGAGCTTCGTTTTGTAATTAATTTACAATATCTTCCATTTGACCAACCACAGATAAAATTCACTTCTCGAACCACTGTTTTTTCCACACCACCCTTCACTGCGTCAACATATCCATTTGATTATGCGCATGAGTTCGCGTCATTTTAGAGCAATCCATTATCGTATTAATCTCGATATTAATATTCTACTGGCACGTCTGACTTTGCGGTAGACTGTTTGTGTACTAAATGTGTTTTGTTATTGTTTTCCTATTGAGCGCAAAACCTTGGGAAAACCAGGAAATCTTTGACAATGCGACAATGATGGCATAGTAAAGGCAGGTTGTGAAGCTTATCCATAAAACTTAATTGAGGCTATTAAAGAATACAATTTGCAACATTGTTACATGTATTCTAGAGAACTGTAAAGTAGGTTTCTTTTTTGAACGATTTTTATACTAGTACAAATATCTGATAATACATTACTTATCACTATGTGTACTTATTAATTACGTGCATTGGAGTAGGATTTCCGATTTTTTTTATTTACAATTTTTTTCGTTAACAAAACACTTTTAACGGGTACGAAAGTGAAATATATATCATACTTACAACTCACTGGTTCGAATAATTTACGACCATAAATTTTTTTATAACTGACATCCTACCGTAGGTACAAATTCATAATATTCATGAATCTATTTCCTCATCAATTTCAAAGGTCGACCACACAAAGCCTCATCTGTTTTATCGTGATTTTTGGTCCTCCGATACTAAACTACTTATATCACAATTAGTATGCGCCAAGCCTCGCTGGCTGAGGGCCTGCATATTAAGAGATGCCTTGCGAATATCAATCGATTTATTACTGTAAGTAATGGATTAGACCCGTGTGTTTACAGATGGCAGTTAGATTACAGATATTAATTTTGCTTCGTGTTATAGAGTATTTGCTTTGATGTATGCGCCTGCACCTTGTTTGAATAACAATTGTGTATTTGTGTGATCATTTTATTAAATACAACACTTTTATCCCATGACATATTTCAGTTAATTTATTTTTAAAAATACCCCGATCTTTTTCGGTGACCAGAGCTGGTTTTAATTAACGAATTTCTCGTTTTAAACCGTCAAAAGTTTTAGGAACCTTGATCATTTTACTTAATATGATTTAATGGAATATTTGACATATCGTTCGTCAAACAGTCATTCTCATCATCTAAAAAAGGAAAATCATATAAAAAAATAGATATAAAGAGACCGTTTCCCCTCATGGGGCATGGGGCGTACACACACATTTCTGTCTCACCGACTTCTGTACCCTAATTAGAAAAGAATTAGACATAAATCTCTAAAATAAATCTTAATGTAAAATATCAGTTATTTAAATACAGCACTTTAACGATTTAAAACGCGATATATATTTGTTAATCTTATTTAAAAATTATTTTAACTACGGCCCGACGCTTCATATACAATCAGTTATTATTTTAACAATATTAAATACATATACGTATATTCTCCACTCGCTCAAATTGCAAACAACGGTATTCGAGGCCAAAAGATTTAAATTCATACCTTTTCTGATTTATATTCAACATGCAATTGGTGTGTAACATAATTTTACAACTCTGGAATGACGTCTCGTTATATAGATGACGTCTAATTTCCCAGCGTACGACAATGCACAGTTTTTCCTAATATTATGAAGCAATATTAAATTACGTATTCGCCACATAATGTCGTGTTATCACAGAAAATGCAATACTTCGTAGTAATGTCCTAGTTCTACGATATCTGTCAAGCGCTAAACAGAATAACTATTGGTTCTCGATAACAAACAGCCCTCTCTAAACTTTTTGGCCTGGTTGAAGTTAGCGCGACCGCCATCTTGCGCATGGCAAAATTCACCCCCGCGTTTGCGCACCGCCTTTGTAGCAACTGTTACCTGCTTTTTGCGTTCTGCGCAACTATCCTAATTCACTATTCGCCATCAGCCCCGCGAGACGAAACTTGACGTACTTTTCTCCAATTGAGCGAGTACTTCGCATTCTTAACAGAGTAAATTGTAAAATAGACATTTTATTGCACACTGAGCGATGCTATAAAGAAAATAATGTATATCTAACTCACTTTCATGTTTGAATTATTATCCTGTTAGTATGTGTGATTGGTTTTTAATAAATAAATAAAAATGTTATTGAAATTACTTACCGATTGTTTTCATTTATAACATTAGTTGATCAGTACCTACCGAAACAAATTTATTATTTTCCCGAGATTCAAGACCCCTTGTGCTTAACGCAATGTTGGACAACGCACTATTATGTGCAGCAAAATCCTTCGACGTATTTTAGGCTTAAAACAAACTATAATTATTATAGCTATAAATCTGCAAATTCATTTTTGCAATAAAATATTTAACAATTTAACATTAAAACACATGCAGGGCAGGCAGTTTATAAAATTAAGGAGAAGCTGTTGTTTTCTTTAATTAGTAATCTGATTACAAAAAAAAAAATTACATACAATTACAAGATAAACCGTATAAGACCAAACCTTATTTATTATTCGGGATTTAAAAAAGATGAAAGCAGTTATTCAAAAAAAAAATAAAGTAAGCGCAACGCAAATGTTCCTCAGACCACACGATTAAACGTGTTCGATTCAACTTTATCGCGATATCCTTGAATCGAGTTTGGCACTCGTAGTAGGGGGTTTAATCCCGATTACTATGCATACCGCGCTATTTGCCTGCACTTGCGTAGTTATTCGACCTTCGTATTTACATACAAATGAATTTCCGACGATGCCCGTTCCTAACATAAGTTCGCTATGATTTATGTCCTTAGATAATAATTTAATATTGTTCCCGGGGATATTTTATGAAAAGTTGTTTTGATATAATACAAGTAATAAATTATGGGAGGTTTTGTCTGTTACAAATATTTACTAAAGTAGTCCGTTTAAAGTGACTTAGAAGTACACTAGTGACCTACGGGCTATTTGTAAATAAACATACAAATGCTTGTTAAAATTTTAAATAGCCTCAATAATCAATCATAATTATAATAATTTAAATTTTGTTCGGCAAGTAATAGTTCCCATACTTGCCGATATAAAAAAAACGGGTAAAAGTTAGTTCCTATTTTATTATCGTAGCTAAACATAGTAATTTATCCATTCTCTATACAGGTTTAGTGGTGTATAGTGTACGGGTTCGTTGATACAAATTGCTCTATTCGTCTGATCACCCTGACGTATTCCACGGATGTACCAGCCTCCCTGTTTCACTGCGTATACGCCTCCAAAACTCGGACACACTGTTACGTCTGTAATATACAATAATATACTTAATCTCTCTACATATTTTGTGTCATTGTTGCTTGCGTATATTTCAATATTTAAAATTATTTCGTGTTGTAATTTTATAAATTAAAAAGCTTAAGCTTAAATAAAATTATTTTTTTATAGTTCATTAATGTCTCCGGGTTCCAGGGTTCGAATCCCAGCGAATGCCCGATTATCATCATTCATTTAGTGTCGTGTATCTAGGCTATCTAACCCTTGCCCATCAGAGAGAGACTGCTGGACAAGGGTTAAACACTGTGGGTTGTAAGGAAAAAAATGTCATATATTTTTTATACAACATAATTAAAAACTGGTTTAAAGTTTCATCGTGTTTCGGTTCCAGTCTGTGGATTTCGGAATATCCAAAGCTAAAATAGGTCGACAACGGATTTTGTATACTAGTATCTAACTGGTAATTCGTTACTCAGATATATCTTGCTCGATACTGAAATCCTAGTACGTGTATAAGTTCGGAGCTGTGTGACTTAGCAGTTAGCGCCAATATTAAAGACAAATCCAAACCAAATTACCGTTTCCATACACGCCGCAGATGTCTTGCGCACCAGTGCACAGTTGACTCTTCTCTTTATCAAAATGTATAGCCATTAATTCGCCCGACGCCGCCCAACCGGTCGTCTGTAATCATTGTCGTGAATAATAGCTCTCCAAGACTATGATTAACTTTACCTAACTGCGATAAGTACTTTACAATTATAATGCAAGAACAATTGCTCATATTTAATTTTTTTGTACACATTAAGTATTACTGGGGAGTGTGTATGAGAGTAGGTTCGATTTCCGTTGGTGTCACTCTTTAAAAAAAAAACTTTATTCTCTTTAAAATTATTTAGATTCGTCAAAATTTTTTTTCTTTGTCTGTCTGTTTGTCGTGATTCTACAGAGTGTTTTCTCTTTCCTTTCTCTGAAACCAACTAATTTACACATTCTAAAGAACTTAAAGACTCATTATCGTTTGTGTATTTAAGGACATGTTTGATATTTTGGTAGATATAAAGTATAGAGAAATATAGAGATGAGCTTTTGTGTTTTTCACTCCTGATTGTGAATTCACAAGAATATCAAAAATACTTGTAAGTGTGATTAAATCGTAATTGGTTAAATCCTCGTTAGATTCTAAAAGCTAGAATTGTATACAAAAGCTACAATTATTATCACATTGTAAAGAAGTCCAAAGCCAAAAATAGGTGGACATGATTGGGGTATTTCTACTAACATCTACGAATCCCACGCACAGTGGGTAGGGGGTAGAGGGTAGCTACCGTAGGGTCAGGTGATGCAATGCACCAGGGCATCGGAACTTAGGGCCCTCTAACTTTATTAACGTTCTTGTGGCTATTTATAATTTTGGAGGTTCATTTAATTCAAGAGGGGATAAGGACCCGATTCTTCCTTGAGCGTTAGAATTAGGTGCCCCAGGGCCCTTGTTCACCTAGCTACGCATCTCTTACTCTATCATAAAAAAAAAAATAGAACTAAGTTGCAGGTGTTCTGATCTGTTGTACATTTAAATCAACGATAACATATATAACTTCCTTGCGCCTTAATGTCCAAAATAGGGTGGAGTCTACAATTTGATATTATCATTATTATAAGAAAATTGGTGTTTTTACTTACAACAGCATCGCTGTACTCCTCTTCATCACTCAAGCACGCTATTGAAACCAAGTGAGACGTCTCAATAGTATCTAATGTCCTCAGAAGAGCGATATCATTACTTGCTTCCGTGAAGTTTTCGTGCACTATAACTTCTGTTATAGCCTGAAAGAAAAATGAACCGTTGACAGCAATAGTGACGTCATTAGACGCGAACGAACAATTTAGACGGCTAAGTACGAGTCGGGGTTTAAAACGATGAGTCCCATAGCATTGACTTGGTAAACAATAGTGGTATATAATTTTTATATAGTGATATTTTTAATACAAGCACAACGACTTGGATTTGTATGAAAAATATGTGATTATTACAAGTCTATTCATTATGTCAGACATACAGAGTTGATTTATAAGAATAATGCAGTACTGAATGTAGTTAACCCGATCACTACACATTAAAATAAATCAATTTTATGGTTTAAAACGCGAATTGTATTATTTAAATCAATTTGACTTTTTTTAAATTACGGCCCGACGTTTCGCATGGTCTGCAATGAGCCGTGGTCACGGGGAGATTAAAGATGGCGAGTGTCTCTTCTTCTTATGTCAATGCAAAACTGCTACGCTAGCGCCATATTTTCCGTCGGAGTTGGTATACTTTTTCAGTTTAATTCCTTATATGATATTTAAATTTTTCATCTGTTCACATTTATGATCTGCATTCCTCATTAAAAAAAAAACATTTAAAACAAGTGTTTAAATATATATTTTAATAGATCTTTTTAAAACATTGCTTAACGGTTACCTTTACGATTCTTTGATCTTCTTTCAAGTTTTGTAAGGAAGTCGTACCCAATACCACGATTAGATCTTCAGCGCGCGTATAGTTGACACAGTGCGCAGCTAAAACAAAAATTATACATTTATCTTTTCGATATACATGCCTTTCTTGGTCTTTTTTGGTGCCTTTCCTATCTCGTATTAAGGAAAATTACACGTTACGCTTATATTCTTGAAATCTAGTATAGCTAGGTATCTTGAACAGTTTTAGTAATTTTCCCCGGTTCTTCCCCATTTCCCACTGGTTATGGCCTCTTATTGGTTTTACAGCCTAAAGCCTTCCTCGATAAGTGGTCCAACAAACACAAAATCGTTTTTTTCAATTTGAAGATTGAATTACTGAGATTAGGGCGTTCAAACAAACAAACTCTTCAGCTATATCATATTAAGATACATGCAGATGGTAGGCACTCCACGACATTTCTATCTATTACTTAAGGAGTTCGTGACCGCCAGGAATCCAATATCCCTCCCCCGCGATCACATTATAGTGATCGTCTACGAAAGTTTATACGATTCTAAGTACGTGTTGATACTTTGTTTGGTACTGAATATATTCTAAAATAAGATACTCGACAAATTAGATATAGGTTTCTACAAATAAGAAGTTTTATATGCAAATATAAAAAGAAATACAAACACGCAAATTAAGAATAAGAATAGAAGTAAGCAACATTTTTATGCTTACGCCGCGCTATGCATAATTGAAAAAATATGTGTAGTAAAATTATTTTTACTAAGGGCACACTTGATAAAAAGAAATCAATACTGTCTGAAGTACACATTAAAATAAAACACTTTATCGGTTTAAAACGCGGAATATGCCTCTCCGTGACCCCGACTGCGCTGAGTGAGCCGTAATTAAACATTCACGTTTTAAACTGTTAAAGTATTTTATTTAAAAATGATCATTTAGGTGCTGTTTACATTCTATAAAACTTGTGCATACGCGCACCAGGTAGTTTTTTGTCTGTGATTGGTTTTGGCAGAAGGAACGTGAAATTTTTTTTCTTTTCGACTTAACTTCGCACTTTTATTGTGTCATAAGAAAGTTAGTTAAAAGCATATACTTTCTTATTACTATTGAATATCGTATAATGTTCTTATTTATCCCATCACAGAAATTCGAGATCAAACAGGAAAAAACGAAACAGGATCTATGGATTGAATTAGATTTTTTTTATTTCCAAAACTATATCAGAAATTCATACTCGTTTTACGTTACAATCTGAAAATGTTATTTTCTATAAATAGATTCTTTAACAATAACAGTGTATATCGTTGATCTTCTTTCAACTTGAAAAAATATATGACGGGGAGGATCGCAAATTTATCAGGCGAAGTTATCGTTAAGTTAGAGTTAAGTTAAACTTAAGTCTCAAGCGTAACGAGTTATATTGGAAAGAAAATTTAACACGCTGTAATTTTTCGTCGAGTTAAGACACAGTTTAATGCCGTCGACTGCATTCTAGGCGGGAATAATCACATTACCATCCGGTCCCTGAGTTTACTCACTACGCAATTGGCTAAACCGAATATCTTCGGTTACGAGATACGGATATAACAACGTGTAAAGTATTTGATAAGTTAGTCTTATTAAATGTAGATCTATGTCTATATAGTGGAATAAGAAACGGACTTGCGCTGGTAAAGTTTAAATTGTGCAAAAAAACTACTGTTACTTGCTTTTCAATAAGTACTCTTTAACGACAAACAACGACGCAAGGAAACCGGCATTTTCTATAACTAAAAAAAACTTACGACGGTTACCTGCCAATACGTATCCACGGTATAAAAAGCCTTAGATACGACACGAATATTTACCGTATAGGAGACCTAATTTAAACATTACAGTGTAAAACGATAATAGTTAGTAAGATGTATGATTTATCAATATTAGTCAGTTAGTACAGCCTAAATTCACGTCCAACAGCAAGTCAGTCAATATTGTAGCATTACAAGAGAATCATACCATCGAACTGCGCAGTGGGTAAACTTCCTTATTCCTGCCAGCCGGAAAAATAAAAAATGCGCCTTCCAACGTCGCTTTATTTTTCCGGGGTGACATTTTCATTTTTTAAAAAGTACTCGGGAGGGCGGAGTAACCATTTTTCCTTCGCATTTGTCTTATTTGAGGCTCACTTGTGACGTAAACAATGTTTTAGCGAGCAATAACTTGAATAACAGCTTACTCCCGCATATTGAGTTTGAAAGATATACTGCGTAAACACAGTAAGAACAAACATTATGTTCTTATTACTGACTTTTCGAACTTGATCTTTTATATATATTTTTTTTATAGGAAATCCCAGTTCCACGAATTGTGGAAAGGTTTGCTTCATTCATTGATTCTAATTATAGGCGAGAAATTGTTGACACTGTATGTGTGTCTCACCTGTGTCCGTCCAAAACGAATTATAATGTCTGCTCAAGAATTGAACCGGAGACCTCTTCGCCTAAATGTCTAGTTAACAATTGTTTATGTATTAGTGAGACACGGCAATTAATAGAGCAACAGCACGTAACTAGGTTCAAGTCCTGCTCAAGATATTTTTGTAAATCTTACATTAGTTATATTGTCAACATATAGTTATACCTGTAACAATAATGTGGGTAGATAACAGAACTCCGTCACAGTGATATTGATACTGATTGGTCTCATTTTTAACAAAAATGGCGGCTATCCAGGAGAGAACTGTAGTGACGTCATCGCTCGTGCCCAGTGGACAGGACTCGTTATACTGTAACGTGAAAATGTTTCATTTGAATATTTAGTATGACAATTAATAAATGTATTTAAAACTATGTGTTTGTTTCATTAGTGTTTAAGGTTAAAGAAGCATATAATAATATTAATTCAAATTATGTATTTATAGTTATAAATCAGTAGACAAGCTCCCTTCTGACCGAGGACGGGAGACCCCGTCGTCCTTAGCTGTTTAAACACTATGGTCAAAATTATAAAAAAAATAGAGTGAAGAGAGTTATTGGTTTGTGTATTAATATAAAATTTTACTTTTTTTAAAGATATCGGTTTCTATAAATCATTTAAAATCAGGTTGTATTTAAATATTATTTTTCGTTTTCAACGTAAATTTATTCTAGAACTAAGTTTATATATCAAATTTCATGTAATTTAAAATTGTTATATTTAGTAAAACTCTAGAACGTTTTCATGTAATTTATCCGCTGCTGCGCCCAAGTAACATTGTAATATAAGTTTAACTAATACGTTTTTTTCCCCCGCAAAGTATTTATTATAATTACTTCGGAGAAAAAAAGAAATACCCCAGCCACATAACATCTAAACGAGGTATGCTGTCGACCTTTTCAAGCTTTGGCCGAACCCACGACTTCGTAGAAGTCGAAGACGAAGTCGTGAGTTCGACCATTGCAATAGTACCAACATTGAAATAGAGTAAAGAGTCCTTTCAAATGGGACTTGAAATAGATGCGTTTTTGCTTTAACACCGGGGATTATTTTCTCTGCAAAGGCCTTACGTGCAATTTTAGACATTAATATTGATCTTCCAGTTCAAATTTTGTAAGCCAGTTGCGATTATATCTAGCTTCTTTCTTCTTCTTCTTTTTACATGAAATAATGAACTATTACTTCGGCCAAACGTCTAACATAATAAGATTAACTTGAAGCAAATATTTACAACCTAAGAAATATGAAATAAATATTTCCTTTGAACACTATAGAAAAACAATAAGATCTATACACAGAATGATTAAATGGAGTTATTCCAACGTGGATATGTTGGAACAAAAGTTTTTCCTTTAATTATTACTCAACCTTGAGAGTTCGTGAGAGAAACATTGTTTCCTGTGGATTTAGGAATACTAGATGTGGTATTTGGAGTGAAATTTTTATGATTGAAAAAATTTATATAAATTAAAACAATGGTTACTTAAAAATCGACGATACAGACAAACATTAATTTTTAGATCAGGGTATGTTGTCCGTTGTGGATTCCAAGCCCATGTGGACTTATTTAATCTATGTACGACCATATATCTATAATATTTAAACATTACAAAAAAAAACACAACGAAATATTGGCTTACGTATTTCAAAGCGCAGAAGTAAAATAGTAAGTAGAAATAGTAAAGTTCACTGTTTTTGGGATGGTCTGTGAATTGGGTAGTAAAAAGAACAGTCTTTTAAAAGTCATAGATTGTATGAATGCTAATTAATAACTATCAGTAATCGGTAGAATTGTTTTTTTTTAATGTGGAAAATCGGTATACTTAATCGAAATATCACATAATTGACACTTGTTTTATAAGATGGTAGATTGTCATTTCCTATCTCTTGTTATGTTTATACATACGTCAAAAGTACTCTCGCCAAAATAAGTTGTCGGTTGACATATTTATTTAAGCTACAACAGAAATGTGGCTGTAGAACGTGCGGCTTAACGTCGAGAAAATCCGTCCTATCCAAAAGATTTTATTGTGCATGGCAACATCCTTTGTTAGTGTGATTGATGTAGTGGGTCGCGTGTTGCCAACTATCAGCAACTCGCATTGTGTGGGGGTACCGGTTAACTAAAACAGAAGTCCTAGTAGCATAGTGCTAAAATACACATAATGTAGCAAACGTAGTTTCAGTGCGTACCTAATATCACCTGTAGTTCACGCGAGAAGTATATATTTAAGTAAAACACTTTATCGGCTGCTGCAAAGCATCCGAAACGTTGGGTTGCAGTTAATTACATACTTTGCATTTTAAACCGTTAAAAATGTTTTACTAAATGTGTAGTTGTTAGAAAATGCATCTGTCTCGGCAACGATTATTTAATTTATAAAACTTGATGCATAAAAAATACAAGGACTAACGGTAATAACGTCGTCCGCCACCCGTCGGACCAGACATTTTATCGGTTCAGTAATTTAAATGCCTTGATGGAGTATACATACACCAACAAATTCCTTCGTTGTATTTTATACTTCATTAGTTAATCTATACTTACTAATATATAAAGCTGAAGAGTTTGTTTGTTTGTTTGAACGCGCTAATCTCGGGAACTACGGGGTCGAATTGGAAAATTATTTTTGTGTTGGTCGAGGAAAGCTATAAACCCTGTGACTAATTCAAGCGAAGATACAGCCATAAATATGAAATAAATTGGGAAAATTATTCATTATTGTGGGTTTTCGAGGCGTACGCTATAAAAAAGGTTCAAGACACCCGAAAATAATGTATAAATCTATCTATCTCTCTTTAAATTATCTAAAAAAAAGTCTGCGATGCTATATGTCTATCTTTTAAGATTTACTTGAAAGAACGACGGGAAGAGACCCAACCGACGTCATAGGTAACAGCTGAAGTTTATAAAAATGAAGAGGAGGTTTGCAAAAACCAATTTTGATGTTGAAAATTCTACGCGGACGAAGTCGCTGACACAGCTAGTTAGTAAATAAAAAACAAACTGTAAAGAAGTTTTTGAAATAGAAGAAAAGTTTGAAATGGACGTTACCAGCGGAAAAAAAAGCAAATATCTATTCTCTCTAATTGTACCGAATCTAATGAAATGACTAATCCACAGCTCACGTGCTGTCGCAACCGCCCCCGAACTTTTTAACGACCGCAAAAACCTCACGTTTTCCCTCCATTGTCATATCAAATTCGCTTCCATCCGTACGATATCAATCAAAGTAAAAAATGGCGACCATTCATTAAAAAAAAGTATTTATATCGCGTTGAAACCAGCCCTCGCCGCAAACAGATACAGAAATACAAATACAACCGATGAATAGTGTGATTTTTCATCCTGCTAAAATCAACGATGTAGTCTAAGAGCCGGTGAAAAAAAAATGTTTAAACAGTCCTTTCGAAGGATAAGAAAAGGAAGAGCTACGACTAACAACGTACCAAATCTACTTAAACCTTTTATAATAATAATAAATATTTATTCATGAGACCTTAATATTTTAAATCGAATGTGATTGTCGCGTTGGTATGTTTTATTAATGCACCTCTGACGTAATGTAATTTCGACATGACATTAGTTGGTTCACAAGAGGTCTCAGTAACAGCGAAATTGCGTTAGACTACATGTATATAGAAGATATATTAAGTAAGTCTAAGCAATGTAGGTATTGTTACGCGAAAGATACAAATTATACTCATCATATTTTATCTATTATTAAAAGTACGTATTTAAATAATAATAAAAATTAAACGGTATAAATGCAAAATAAATTGGTTAACTTATTTACAATGTATTTAAACCACGCCTGCTGCAAATCATCCCAGACGGCGAGCCATAGTTAAAATACATTGTAATAAAGTAATTTATTTCGTGTTTCAAACCGTAAAATTAGTTTATTTAAACGGTGACCTACCGTGTAAATAAATAATTAATTGATTAGCCATTACAAGTCCCACTCGTGTCGAAAATTTTACTAAATAGATTTGTTATTTAAATAACACTGAGTAAAAAGTTTTCAAAGAAGTTAAAAAAAACAAGTAAATAATTAAATCTAATAGCTGTCGCAAAGAAAATTAAGTATAAAAAGGGAGTGTTTTAGGGAGTTGGGTCGTTTGTAAATCCTTGTTTCTGTCACAATTGAGAAAGGACGGAATGAATGTCTACTGTCTGGAGCTTTTTAAAATGAGAATATATTTATATTATATCGTAAACATTTAACTAAGTAATTTTGTTAAGAATTAAACCTAATTGTATTAATATTTTAAAATCAAAGTCATCTATATAATTATTGGTATATTTTTCTGATTTTGTACGAATTCAGCTCTTTGTCTACAAAATAAACACATCTCGTTATAACTAGGAGGACAGACATCCGCATTTCTCTCTACACTGAAATATCGCTTGACAGACCTATTAACGACCTTTGCTGTGGTTACATTAAAATAGTGACATGCTAGAGAGAAAACACGAGGAAAAATCTAAACGAGCTTTTTAAAATGTATATTAAGATATTTTTTGACGTAAAAGTTAGAGACCGGCCTCACCGCTTTATTAAATTGTCATTTAAAAAGGAATGTAAAATGTATTACTTATAAATAAAGTAACATAATAGATGCAATACTAATATGTATTGTAAATTAAATGTGTCATCATAGTTTTATATTACATACATTTGTAGTCCAAATTTCTTACGGCACACTTTTTTTGCTTGAAGTAAAATAGAAAAAAGAAATAGTAAAACTTATAGGTATTATTTTTAATAACCTTTGGGTCTAAAAATTAAAACATGAGAGATACTTCAAATATTAATACTATAATTAATGAAACTAAAAATAGATACTATATTAAGAGACATCTTCTCATGCTTATGATGTTACGAAGAGATATTAAACAATAGCTTACTATTACGCCATACAATTAAAATAATAAGAATCTGAAATGAATCTGAGTAGAAATAACTTACGTAAGTTTTTGTTTCGTTTGTTACGGCGACATTAACTTCGTGAGAAATGTTTTCTATTATTTGGGCTTCTGTTGCTAATTCAACATATTCATTTGTCGTATCTTTGTAAAGATCAATATAGTCTATAATTGGATAATCCGTTGCGTTATCATCGCTATAGTCATCTATGTCAGGGACATTCTCCTCTTCATCAGATATCGATTGTATACTTTTTGGCTTTTTCTCGTTTGTATCAATGTTATCGTCGATATTCATTACTTATGACTGTCGTTATATTATCGTTTAACACTTTAGAAACTGGACCTAATGTCTCTATCGATTCTGAATCTAGTTCTCCTTTCTCATTGAAATAGAAATTTCTATCATCATTAATAATGAATGTTTTGACAAATACGGCCGTCTTATTATCATTAAATGAATGATAATTAGCGTCTAAATCCAAAGTACCTTTGAGCTCGTCTTCCAAGAAGCCAGATACACCAGACAGTATTTGATTGATATTTTCTTTACTGAAATCTATATTATTTTCATCGTTCTTTATTTCCGTTGGCTCGAAATAGTTCGCGTTGTTGAAAAAACTGTTAACGAATAAATTCAAACACTCGAAATACGTATCACATTCACAATTTATGCCACTCAAAAACAAAAATATCAAAGCCAACTTCATATTTGCTTTAAAGCGTCAGTACTTCGTGCATGATCACAAATAAATGCAATCTACAATTATAATAATTAATCTAACAAGTCTTATTATGGAGGTAGTAAAGTTGAAAACGTAATGACCTTACCTTGAGAATTTCGTGGTGAATCTGACTTTGATGGATGATACGCACAATGGGTGGATAATAGACCATTTTGAGGTGTAATCGTTCAGCTTACAAGAATTATGGCTGATTGTTCGACGGATATATATTACGGAGTAAAGAATCGTTTAAATATAGGTCACCGCTATAGTTCTTATAGTTCTAATAGACTTGGTATAGAGGCCTAATTTCCAAAGTACGAGCGTGTTTTTAAAACCTATTCAATCCTGACAAACTGTATGTCAATCCAGACACACACTTTTTTTACGCTTTTGAGAATTAGCTTCCAGATATCATGAAGATTAGGTATTCAATGATAAAATACTTTTTTGGAAAAACATAGTTCTTATCTCTAACCTCTTTTAATAAAGCAATTTGCTATACACTAAGCTAAGAAGATCACGCCCGTATTAAGTTAATTAAAACATACAATATCGATCTTCAATTATTATGTATTTGAATTTAGACAACGAGCGTTGGCTCTGGACTAAAACTGGATACCTAGTTTAACATTTTGCATAACTTGAGGCATTAGAAATTCTGTTTACATAAATAACTAAATACAAGTTATAACAATGTTGAAGTGTGGGTTATTTATATAGGGAATTGTATTTTAATCCACCGTTAAAAAAAGGGTTTATTTACGAAAACATCACTAGGAAATTGATATATGAAAGTAGTTTATTAATACTTTCTAAGTTAAAAGACGCAAAGTAAGTTTAATTAATTGATAACAACAATCCAATGTTTTGGCGTCTTACAGAAAGCATGGTCATGGGGGTTCGGGTCACATTAATAAAATTATATAGTTTACGTTTTAAACCGCCAAAATGTTTTACATAAGACCCCTTAAATATTATATTATTGTTTATTTATAATACTATTGGCGTTTTTAAAATACTACGTACTTATTATTTATTACTCACCATTGCCATACGATCTTTTTTGAAACTGGTGTCGCGAATAATTTCAACATCATTCATATTAGTCGTCAATTTATCTTCGTTAACCAGATCTGTCATTATCCTAGTGCTCGTTTCGATTTCGAAGAAATAATCCACTACACCTGACTTCGGAAGCTCTATATAATCTTTTTCGATGTCTATTCTCCTCTTATCTCTTTTCTCTTCAACTTCATCGAGACTGAAGTAATCTGTGCTTTCGAATTCTATCGTAGTATCTAAAACATAATCTGTGGTCGCGACATCAGTCGTATCTTCATAATACGTTATATTTAATTCAGTTATGGTCGGTATTCGTTTGATAGTTATATTTGCGTGTATATAATTGTATACATCTGGCCAATATCGTATACTGTAGACAGATATCGATAGTATGAATATTATCGCGGCTATTATTAATAGTATTAATAGCTGTATAATTAATTTTGTCACTGATAACTTCATTTTTGCGTGTTGCTAATTTTAAAACTGATTCGATACTAATATAATAATGTAATAGCGTCCATAAAGAAATAAAATACAATAGGTGATTTGTGCCCTTTTAGGGTGTGTTATTATTGCTTTTAGCACATTAGAAGAATGAGTTTAGCGAAGAACCTTCGGGTTGTAATGGCGGAAAATGCAGGTAACTTTTTTTAATACAATGGTAATTACAGACATTTGGAAGAATATTTGTAAGCCACATTTAATTGTCCTTTTAATCCATTGCGTCTACCCTGTGAAAGAATGATACTGAAGGTTACGAAAATAATAAACTGTGACAAATACATTAAACTAACCATTATTATAAATTAATTTGTATAGTTTAAATATTTAATTTTACAAACCTAATATCTCTAATAGAAGATTCAGGATTCAACAGTAATAAAGCGTCTTCAAAGAGAATTTTACTTTAGTTTTACGCAAGTGCTAAGCATTGAATAAAACACTTTTTAACGGTTAAAAACGCAAACTATATTATTAGTTCATTTATTTTTAACTGCAACCCGACATTAATGATGCTTTACACACAAATTTGCGAATAGCTGCAGATTGCAGTTTTAACTACGCCAAGTATTTTAAACGAATTTTACTATGTGATTGTTGAATGACGAGTAATAAATCAAAGAGGTAATCAAAATGTATAAGTATAAGTATCTACACCCAAATAATTCGCAAGCCATAAGTGCGTTCATATTCCTAGACGCGACGAAGCGTCTAGGATATGACTATATAGTATAGTAACGTAGTGTTTTAGTGATGAGCATTAGCTCCGATTTTGATATCGATATTTTTATACTCCTTACTTTAAAGTCTGTTAAGAAAAATAGCAAACCTTCTTAATATTATTGTATGGCATTACTAAAATACGACTTTTATTAACTGTCTTAGTTTAACCGTAAAATTTTAAAGTGATATTATAAAAAATGTCATTAATGAAACTTCTTGTTTACTTTCGTTTCTATAACATATAGTCTGCAAGTTATTCCAGGATTATATTAACATTGATTCCAAATGTTATCTAAATCAATCGAGTTAAACCAAACAAATTTTGCTTGATATTGATACCTTTAGTTATCAAGAACATCGATATATCATAATTGCATAAGCACTGAACTATCTCCCCACAACCGAGCCGCAACCCGTCAATAATCGATTAGCTAGGTTATATCGATAACCCGCACTAGTTAAATGAACTGCAAAGAGGATTATGCGTTGACGTAAAAACTATCGAACATTTTTATTCATTGGTTTTTTATTGATATAACATAACACAAGATGCGCTAAAGAGAAAATCTAGATATTAAATGAATTTACCGAAATTCCGTCTGGGCACATACCACTGTGCACAGATCAAAAAGCCGTGAAGTTTCGGGGTTCGGCTTTTTGTTTGTGCATTTCCGAATATCCAAAGCCAAAATAGGTCGGCTGAGATGCTATAGACGTATGCTATAGGCGTATTTCACCTACGCTATCTCTCTGTCCTGCTCTATCATTGAAAAAACCAGATTACTCTTATCTTAAAGATCCTTAGGTCGTATAATTGGCAGCTAATTGCAATGGTGCATGGTAAGCAATATTTTAACATCACCATGTATAATTCAATATAAAAGGTGGTCAACTAAATAACATGGCTTTGTACTTAACCCTTCCGCATTAGCACCTATCCTGTCCTTTGAATTATTTATTAATAGAATTAAAACAACCCTCTGATGATCCCAAGAACGGATTGAATTGAGTTATTTAGTTAAAAAGGTGTAAATCAGTTAAGTTCTTAATAGATTAGGGTAACGGTACTGTGTTTTCAAAGAGGTTTTGTGGCATAGGCGATATCACGTTTTATATACATATGGAAAAGATTGAAATCCCTTTTTCCTCAGGTGGGTATGGGGCGTACATTTATCTGTGTACGTTTCACTGATCGGTTTTATTTACATGCAAGTAGTTGATCAGACTTCTGTGCCCTGCCCGACCAAAACAATAGATTGTATTCCCAGATCGGAACCCAGCACTTCTCGTTCTTAACGCAATGTCAAATAATATGGAACTATGCATACATATGGAGACTAATTAAATATTTTACTAGGAAATAACCATTATTGTAAATAATTTAACAATAATGTTCATTTCCCAAATTATGTTCTAATGTTGTTCAAATGTCTCTCTAAGACGAGACGGTTTAAGTCTTTATTATCTCACACCCACCATGCCAAAGGCTGCTACAAAAATCATGATCGATGGCTTAACAGGATTTCGAAATGATACTAAAGCATTACAAGAATTCCAAATACAAACTAACCTGGAACGACAAAACACCAAATCGACCTACATTCAAGCATACTACTTCAGCGATTAGACTAACATGTCAATGGATATAGGGCCATTTTTAAAAAAAAAATAACGGTTTAAAACTGTTTTTTTTTACAAACTATTGCATTTCTTTCGATTCCGTTGGTGCCAACATTTTAGGTATCTTTGTTGACGTTTTGTCTCTATTAAAGTTTGTATTGTTTCTTATTGTTATAAACTGTGTTAAGTGTTAAGTTTTATTTAAACCTCCTTAACTTGTTCAACTGCGACAAGGATTTGAACTATTGTAGGTCATCCGTGGAACCATAGATTAGAAGCTTAGCCAAGTACTCCTGCTAAAATATAGGAGATGGGTTCTACGAACGTTCTACTCTGGGTCAGGGTAACCATAATTTTTGCACAGATAAATATAAGACTTTGCCGCACGACTCCCATTATATACCTGGCATAAAGATTTTTTTAGGCACGATTTTATGTAGGTATCACCTGAGATTCCAAACTCTTATACGAGTCCAAATTCCGACTAAGTAAATCTTCCGCAGATGAAAAAGCCGTTAAGTTTAATCGCGTTTCCGTTGTAGTCTGTGGATTTTCCAATATCCAAAGCCAAAATAGTTCGTACGCGCATCTCGTTTAGATGTTATTTGGCTGGGCTATTTTCTCTATCCTCATTTTCATAATTCTTTATATAAACGTTCGTTCGTTCGTTATATTCGGAGTGCGGCTGACCGGACGGCTGATCGAATTGCGGTAAGCCACTTGGTCCAAATCTGTACCGTAACTGTACTCGGAAACTTTGGTTACCCTACGTGACGCGGTAAACAGAACATGAGAGTGCAATATCGCGGAACCATCCCATAATTTGCGAATCATATCGATTACACTTCGCACGTTGCACTCGGTTAAGTGTGATGGCCGAATAACTGTCTCGATTCATTGAGTATGACTTTTTGTTTATTTCACTGCCTTTTTTACTATACAGTGAAATGTTCAATTGTTTTTATATTCCGCGTAAAGAGGAGAAAATTAAACACAAGATTTGGATAGGAAAATATTTTTTCTACAACTACAAACAGTAAGTTAAAAAAAACTTATATACACAAATAAACAAAATATTTCGATACAAGCACATTGATTGATATCCCTACTAATATTATAAATGCGAAAGTAACTCTGTCTGTCTGTCTGTTACTGTTTTACGCCAAAATCACTGAACGGATTTAAATGAAATTTGGTATACAGATGGTCTAGACCCTGAAAAAGGACATAGGCTATTTTATTGCGAAAAGAGGGTTGTAAGGGGTTAAAAGGGAAATGAAAGTTTGTATGGAAATTCGTGGTTTTTGAAGCTAGAACAATGAAACTTTCTTCTTTGGCTTTTTGGGAATAGGAGTGGGAGTGGGAGTAGGGGTGGGCGCGGGCGTGAGAATAATAGTGGGAGTGAGTGTAGGAATGAGAGTGGGAGTTAGAGTAGGAGTGATGTGAGGTGAGAGTGTTGCGGCAAAGGAGCACTTACCATACATTGGCTGCCTTAAATGCGCCCTTACATAAATTAATAAACAGCCTCAATAATTGAAAACTCTACCCAAGATTTTAGTTAAAGTTCTTAAGGAGTATATGGTATTGTTTATAAATAATTAATTTAAATAAAATTAAGGTTTAAAATATATATATAAATTTTTATTTTTTTTAAATTTTTTTTTTTTAATAATAGAAGTATTATTATCTACTATGATTAGATAAGATTTAATAATTAAGATTTTTTACACTTTCAAGTTTAGTAAAATTTTTCTATTTAATACTACTTCTCTTTACTATCTTCCATTTTACAATCGTATTTAAATTGTGCTAAATTACATACGATCACTAAAAGAAGATTATAATATTAGATAGGAAGGAAGATAGATAACTAGGATACACTTACGGAAGGTAAATATACATCTAAACAGACCTTCAAACTATTTTATATGTAATTAAAATCAAATGACTAAAATTCAATAACATTTAGCGGTTTTTAAACTGTGGGATGTATTTGAATTTCCATTTCTTTCTTTAATATCAGGTTTTTAATCCTTGTAAAAATTTATTGATTGAATTTTGATCAGGGGGTCTTGAAGCAGTTTAGTATCGTTGACATAGGACAGATATAGCGATACAACTAGATCGCTATTTGTTTTTTTGTTGTGTTGTTAGCGTATTCCAGTAAAACATATTAAAATATCATAGAATAAAATCACTCGAACATAATTAATTTGTGTTAACAAGAACCACATAACATTTTAAAGGATTACAAATACTTCTTATTTAAATAAAAAATCTATTTAGTTTAAAATAATTTGACAAAGGCGGGACTTGAACCGGCATCCACAGTGATCCATGCTGCTCTAACCAATTGAGCTACCATGTCCGACACGTCATCGTTGAAAATATACAACTTATTGATACATGCTCTCGCGCAACTTAAATTACCTTAAATATCACTCGCTCCTGTTTCACTTGTAGAATGGACAGACTTTTGTATTTATGCCACAAAATATTAAATATTGAAGCCACGTTAATTATAGGCATGAATGTTTGAGTTATTTAAGTGTTAGGATGTGAATTTAAGCTGATTTGCTTAACGCGAGGTAATGTAGCGGAAACTTACGAAGGGG